CAACCTTCTAAAGCATTCGCTTACAATTAGAGGAGGGCCGCCAAGGCTAGAGAAGATAAGATAATTGGACACAGGTTAATTCCAGCACCAAATCTATCAGGCCTGTAAGCTCCTATCGCAGGGCTGGACCATGGTCCCAACTCCCAAACGAAAGAAACAGAAAGGCTCACGAATTAAAAACCGGATTGTCTCACTAGATTCTGGTTGTGTGCATTGCTGACCTGTTGTCAATACCGGTCCCCTCGCAGTGAGAAACTACCAACACCAATAATCCATCGCTCCGTGCATCCTGGCCTCCTGGGGAAAGAGCCGATGGCCCAAGGTGATGGACAAATTTAAATGCAAGTCCGACAGAAAACAGCTGGTGCAACTGTACTCTCGTACTCGTACACATGCACATACTCCTACCTAGGAGCCACCTTTTCCGCTTTGTCTACGTTCAGGCGCTCGTCTCGGCTCTCTTGGCGGGCAGCCTCAAACGCTCCAAAGTTTTTTCACGTGGTTAACAAAATAACGCTCCAAGCTAGTATTTGACTTTGTGAGCAATGAAAAATGAAAAAGACTTGGTAGGTAAGCACAAAGGCTCCATTTGTGTTCCGCAGACGTAATTCGGCTTTTGTTAATTGCCATGGTAGTCAGTCTGCCAGGCCTCCAGCAATCAGCCATGAGAGCGTGACATAAGCGCAGAACATAATCAAGTTTAAATATAACCGATTACAGTTGACTAAACACATTGGAGAGAATTCTTCTATTCCCGCCTCTGCCATTTCAACTTTCTTCACAATCACAAATATTCCAGGTCCGGGTCTTGTCTCCCAGGCTACGGATAGTACCGCCAAAACATTTTGAATTCTCCAGTACACAGAGTGCCCCTAGGATCTCCAGTACAACTCCATCAAATACTAGCCTCGTAGCCTGTTGATTCAAAAATATGTTTTTCTACTACTTGAGTCGTACACCTGCATTACGACGCTCCGCTGCTGGATTTGATCTGGAGAACGGAGAGAGCAATCAGAGGATGCAAATGACGCAACCAGCGCGACAACGAGCCGAGACCAATCGATAGAGAGAAAGTGGCCGTGGCACCGCCCAACTGCTGGCTCTCGGCAACCTGACGGCCACATGGGCGCCGGTTGCACCAGCTCAGACGCAACGCAAAACCCAACCTTTCCACCGATCACGACAGCCTAACAATATGTGCTCGCCTAGCTAGCCTCCTCGTGCACATTCATCAGTCATGACACCAAGATCCATCCTACTAGTACTATACTGCCTACCGTACGGTGCAGCAAAGCAAGGGTACAAAGGCGCCTTCGAACAGGGGATTAGGAGGGGGATTAGTATTAGTAGTAGTATCAGCTTTGCTGTAAAGGCATCGTTAAGAAAATCCGGATTTCCCAACAAGGCGCCGGGCAAGGTTCTCTTTTAAATTTGAACAGAACCCGAGGTTTCGTTCGACGGCAAGGTGGTACAAACCGAAAACAAAAGGACTTGGCACGCCACACGAGATAATAGCTTTACAAATTGACCGGTCAGAGGCCTGCCCGGCCACGGCCACACGACACGCCGCAACAAAAGACGACAGGAAACAGCCAGCTGCCGAAACGGAATCCACCCAAAACTCTGGCCAAACGCCCGGCTTGGCAAGGTTATCTGTATCCTAATCCACACGATTATATACCGAGTGCCCGAGCCTAAACGATATTTTTCACATGATCCTATCAAATTTTAGAGAGTATATCCAGATACTGCGATCGCTATGAAACTATCAAATATTATTTAAAATAAAATAAATTGAAAATAATGGGAATAAATATACTAAGTTTACATAAAAAACAATTAAATATATTAAAATCAATATTACTAGCCACCTAGTCGGACGTTGCGCGACTTTAGATACCCATTTTAAACCCCCTATACAAGAAAACTCTTATACTGGAAATGTTATAATAGGTTGGTTTGTTTTGAATTTTGATCATTAAGCGTCATTGATGGATTACCTAAGTTGATAAGCATATGGCCTCAACTATATGTTCAAAATTTTATTACACAATTGATGTTGTAATGTACAATTCCATGTTCAATATAAACTCAAAACAATCCTATATCCCATCTATCTATTCACATGCGAAAACATATTTGTGCTGCTTGTAGCCAATATGCTCCTTCCTCCGTTTCATATTATAAAACTTTCTAGCATTGCTCACATTCATATAGATGTCAATGAATCTAAATACCTATATATGTCTAGATTCATTGACATATATATGAATGTGGGCAATGCTAGAAAGTCTTGTAGTATGAGACGGGGGGAGTACTGTTTAAGTAAATATAACAATGACTATAAATCATCTTTTACTAATTCAGGAAAATAATAATAGGAAAATATTACTTTAACACTTATTCCTTTAGCTAGGAAGTTCTTCAAACCGCCTCCATCCTGTACCAGTGTTATATCAAGTTCATATTATATTATACTACCTCTGTCCCAAAATAAGTGCAGTCGTGGATATCCGTGCCCAACGTTTGACCGTCCGTCTTATTTAAAAAATTTGAAAATATTTAGTCACACATAAAGTACTATTCATGTTTTATCATCTAATAGCAATAAAAATACTAATCATAAAAAATTTTCAAATAAGACGAATGGTCAAACGTTAAACGTGAATAGTGCAAAACAGCACTTATTTTGGGACGGAGAGAGTATATGCATAGCACAGAGCTCATCATCTTCCCTTTTGAAGGAGATAAAGCCGAAAGTAGTTAAGATTTAGAACATTAATATGTCACATATAATCTGAGATGAATTGGATTATACTTGACTTCTATTAGGACTGTCCTTAAGACACCCATCAAGGAAAAAAACATTTTTTATATAATGATTAAAAACCCATATTGTGAATGAAGCATTTAACTATACACATTCCAACTATTTAGAAAGGCGGAGTATTTATGCTTAGAAATTCTGAAGGTTGGCATGCAGGTCATGTAGTCATCAGATAGAATTCAGTGACAGGGGAAACAACCATTTTTAATCAGCATATTGCAGCCATGGTACCATCAGAGTATTTTGACTGATGTTTGAGATTACTGCTGATATGAAACCAAATGAACCTAGCTAAAAATTAACTGTTTTAATCTGAACAACTTCAAAATTTGTTGCAACTGCAATGACAAAATTACATGATATTTTATCTGAGCTTTCCTTGGTTATATTATGAGTATCATGAGACATCCAATAGGTGTGGTTAAACATATGAACAATTTGAGCAAGCTAGCTGTGAGGAAATGTAAAAGAAAATGCAGAGACAATGATTTGGTACCGTAGCTAATGTTTGCCTGATTTCAGAATATATGTATGGATTGAAAAGCTACTGAATCAATTGCAAATAAAATCACATATCTGGTTATTTCGGAAGAGGATCTTTGACAGCTCTCGTCATTGATGGAGACAAAGAATCAACGAACCAGCGTACCTCAGCTTCTAGCTTCTTGGGTCCAGTTATATCAAGGAATCAAGATCGTGGAATTCACTCAACTTTTTGGCAATCAACAGGAACATCTCTAGTTTGCTATATGCCCTAGAGCTCACCGGCGAGGCGGTGCGTCTCCTCGGAGATGTGGTAGAAGCCGGCGCCCCATTTCATGGCGGCGAGCGGGCCGGGCGGCCTCCTGCCGCAGCGGGATTCGGTGGCTAGACCGATCTGTGGGTGGAGGACGGGGACGAGGTAGTGGAGACAGAGGCGGCATTGGTAGAGGGGAAGAGGAGGAGGAAGTGGTGGCAGGCAGAGGCGGATGAGGAACTTGCGCCAACGACGTGGATATGGAGGGGGCGAGTGGGCGCGGTGGAGGAGGAGGGTGGAAGTGGAGGTGGAGGAGGCGACGGCAATGGGGAGGCGGCGATGGAAGCGAGGAGATGGGCAGGCGGCGGAGGCAGCGGTGGATAATTTTTTTTCTTTTTCTTTTTCGGACCTTTTCACCTGCTCGGTGATTTTTCTTTTTTATACGGCACGACGGCTTCTCCTATTCGCGACGCCTCGGCTGGACCATGGACCGTTGGCCACTGGAGCATTCTACCATGGTCCAGATTTTTTTTTTCACTCAACTTTACTACTTCACATCTGATGGCTGGTGTTGAATTCATTGTGCATCCAACGGTCATTATTAAATTGATAACGTGGCGCAATGAGGTGACGAAACACTTTACTTTTTTCACTACTTTAGATATGCTCTAATTCATGACATATTACTCTGATCCTACAGTAATATAATAATATAAATTTTAAATAAGATGAACAATCAATAATATGATAATATAAATTTTAAATAAAACGAAAGTACATAAGTACATAGAAACCCATTGTTACGTTTAAAATGTGACAGATGTACCTTAACTTTGTGGCTTGGTGCTGTGACGGGGGACCCAAGGGGAAATTCACAACACAAGCCGTGATCTCGTGATGCTGTGTTATTAATCTCGCAACCAATTTGGCAAGAATTATCGGAGTTGCGAGTTCGCAAGTTGCAGCACAAGCGTCGCCGTCGGTAGGTAATGACAGGAAGCTGAAGATGCAAGATCCCGGGCCCCAACCAGGGCAGATTCTTCGGTGGCAGATGACCAGTTGATTATGATTGGAACTAAAAATAGACCAAAGAAATAAGACACCACCATGTTAAGCAACTAGGACGTCATATGTTAGACTTGTCAAGATACATCGAACAGGTTGAGTACCACAACCACCCGTTTTACCTCTGTACTTCCTACTACTCCACATCCATCCAACTACAGAAACTGTCGCCCAACCCAAATCAGAATCCCATATACATAGCCAGAGCAATATGCTATGCACCAAAAAAAAAAAAAAGTGGAAGGGGAAGCACTGATGCACAATTACACGAATAAACTGTATACTCATGTGAGTTCCTGACTCTTGAAGCAACATATTTCAAAAAGATGCAAGAGAGACTGATGAGACAAAGGCAACACAGCAAACGCAGTGTTAAAGGAAATCTGAAGCTCTTATTATTTCTTTCTTACAACTTTTCAAACATCTGATGATTTCTTCCAATCATCATACGACTAGAGCTAACTGGCATAGAGCTAACTAGCATAGTACTCCCTCCGTCCCACAATATAAGAGATTTTGAGAGTTTTTGCTTACAACGTTTGACCACTCGTCTTATTTAATTTTTTTTCGCAAATATAAAAAACAAAAAGTTATGCTTAAAGTACTATAGATAATAAAATAAATAATAATTTCAAAATTTTTTTAATAAAACGAGTGATCAAATATTTGCAAATGAAAACTTAAAATCTCTTATATTATGGGACGGATGGAGTTCCATTCAATTCTCCAAAAGAACACTTATTATTGGATATATCACCGTCAATACCCTGAACAACCTACGGAAGCCATGTATTTCTCATCTGTTGATCTGCATCCATCACCCACCTTCCAAAATAACCAATATATCACCATACAAAAGAACACCTAACACTGATGCTACTGCCAATGCCATTCCTAATTCTAGCCTAACACCTACCTAGCACTAATAATAGTAGCAGTAATAATTCTTAAATATGATCCATTAAACTGGGATTAGAACAGACGAACGAAGCAAATCTGCGCCTCAGTATGTCCATTCCTGGGGAAGATTCACCTCGCGCGCAGCGGCAAGCGTAGGCGGCGCCGCGGTGGCCGCGTGGAGGTGGTGCTGCACCCGCTTCTGGGTGGTGAGCATTGCATTGCTCCGACTGACCAGAGCGTCTGTGAGAAATGAATCAGGAAACTGTCAGGAGTACTACTCATTGGTGAACCGTAACATAAAAATTGTAGGCGTGGAGTGAACTTACCGTGGTCGAGAACGAAACCGCCGGGAAAGCAAGGACGGGCACCAAGATCGTCGACGTTGAGGTTGAGGGCCTGCACGACGCGCGCGGGCAGAAGCACGGTGGAGCAGCCTGAAGGCAAGCAGAGCCGCAGAATTTTAGCCCAAAATACGGCGCGACTCACGCAAAAAAGGGCAGGTAAAGGAAGAGGTTCGGAGGAGGTGCGCACTTGGCTTTTTCTTGGGCTCGGCGGGGGCGCCGGCCTGGCGGGGGATGAACACGCCGGTGCCCGTGCGTTCCGTTTTGCCGCCGGGAGGGCTGAGGAACACGGCGCGCATGCCGGCCGCGGACGACGCCTGCTGGTGGGCCTTCTGCAGCGGTGGCCAGCCGGAGGAGTTCAGACCAAGCGGCGCGCCGACGCCGACGCCGGCGCGGTGCGTTCCCCACGCCGCCGCTGCTGCCGCGGCGAGCTGCTGCTCCCGTTGCTGCTTCAACAGCTGCCTCTGCTTCAGGAGGTGGAACTGGAAACAGGCGGAGACGAACAGAACATCAGAACAGTCACAAAATCAAACAGAAAGGCATGGAACAGTTGATTTATGGCGAAAGAACTTACATGAGCGACTTGAACCTGGCGTTGGGTGAGCATGTTGTTGTTGGGCGCGAACTGGAAGGCACCGGCGGTCTTCTGGGCTTGCACCGGCGGAGACGGGTTTCTCGCAGGTGGGACGAAGCGGCCATGGCCGGCATGCGCATGGGGCTTCTGGGGCACCGGGATGCTGTTCATGCGCAGGCGAGCAACCTGCCCGGCAGCCTCGGAGAGAACGTCCCAAGGGTCCGTCGGCGGCTGCTCCAGCGGCGACGACGGCGGCGAGCTGAACTGCGACGCACCGCCGTTGGGGCTATCCTCCCCGGAAGCCGCCAACCCGCACAGCGTCGACTGCGGCGACCCCGCCATCACCTCCACCTGTCACAAACAAAAGAACACGATCAGATTTCGCTACAACGAAGGCGCAAACACAAAGCATGTCGAACAAGGCCAAACGAGACACCAACCAACCTTGGAACCCGTTCCCTTTCCACCCTCGCCGGCGAGGAGGTCGGCCATGCGTCGCGCGAGGCCATCCAACCCGTCCTCCTCGTCGCTCTCGCTCTTGGCCGCAACCGCCGCCTTCTCCTCCACGGTGAAGAAATCATCGTCCAAGAACTCGTCGGGGAGCCACAACTCCGCCTCGGCGGCGCCAGGGGTGCACACCTCCGCCATTTGGCCCACGAAAACACAACCCCTTCCGTCCGCGCGGCTGCTGCAAGCGTGGACGGAACACCCACTCCCCACACGAGGAGGAGGGGTAATATAGGACGGCGGTGGTGTTGGCCAGGAATTGCCGCGCGGGGAAGAAACAATAATAGGCAGCGGCACGTACAGGGCCAGGAGAGGTGATGGCTGATGGCTCCCCTCCCCGCCTCCCTCCTCCAGCACTAGTACGCTCCAACCTCCTGTCCTCCTCGTCTGTGTGAGCGATGGGGGGGACCCAGGAAGGCAAAACGCGAAGTATCAGATGATGAGATGAGATATATTATCCCCCGGAAAGCGGATGGACGGAGGAGGGGAAGCGGCGTGGGGGTGGGATGGAGGGGAGAATGTCCAAGGACGGCTGGGGATTTTATCGAGCGGCTGTGGTTACGGAGGTCAAAGCGGTCCTCATCTCTGCTTGTGTTGGGTGGCTTTATAAAGTGAGCCGGAAGGAGTGTAATTAGTGGGTCTGATTTTTATTTTTACGGATTAACCGCACAACGGCACAAGTACGGCTCAGGCATAGGCATAGCTTATCTCAGTTCCATGATAAACTTAAAGTCTGTATGTAAAACTATAATATTTTAAATTATAAATTTCACATGACATGGAAACAAAATGATTATCCAAATGTTATCTACGTAATCATAGATTTAAATTTGTAAAGCTAAAAATATTCAACTGTAACAAAAAAAATTGGATCCAGAGCTATATCCAAGAGGGCCTACATCTGCCGTAAACTTTAAATGCCAAATGAATTGTTTACGGTTAAAAAAAAAGACTTGGAGTTAGGACTATTTGGGAAGCAAATTTTGGCCTTGTTTAGTTCCTAAATTTTCTTTTTTCAAAACATCACATCGAATCTTTAGACACATGTATAGAATATTAAATATAAATAAAAAAGAAAAACTAATTGCACAGTTTGAATGGAAATCGCGAGACGAATCTTTTAAGCATACTTAATCCATGATTAGCCATAAGTGCTACAGTAACCCACATGTGGTAATAAAAGATTAATTAGGCTTAATAAATTCGTCTCGCGATTTTCAGTCGAGTTATAAAATTAGTTTTTTTTCATTCGTATCCGAAAACTCCTTCCAATATCTGATCAAACATTCCATATGACATCTAGAAATTTTCTTTTCGCGAACTAAACAGGGCCAAATGAGTAACCGAGTGTCTGGAATAAGGTAGTCAGTGTATGTGATTAGGACTAGCGTTTGAAACCACCAAAGATAATAGTAATGTGTTTTCCTCCTGAGAATTGGTCCTTTTTTTTTCTGAAAAATGCATCTAACTTATTGTTGCTATTTTTCCTTTGGTATTAAGACAACACACTCCCCCCACCAAAATGGTAGTAGTAGTTCAACAAATGTTGACAAAAAAACCACATGATAACAACAAAAAAGGTTTGAAGTTCACATCAACATCTGATGGTAATGTACTACACCAGTCCTACTCCTTGTGGTACGATCGGTTTCTTGTTTTCCATTTTTGCGAGGGGGGTGCCAACCTACTCGATAATCCGGGAGAGTACTGGCGAGATAGGCGTGGTACGAATTAAATTGGTCGATGTGGCGTAAAGCACGATCGTCACGAGACTTTCACCGGGCCGCAGTTCTCGTAGGGCTTCATGTTCGTGTTTGCAACCGCATTCAATTCGTGACCTGGTTCTGCACATTAATGCGCGAGTTTCGCGCCTTGTACCGTCTGTCCTGGTATGTACGCTACAGCAGCCAAACACGTCACGTATGAAAATACTGCGCAACCCAAAGAACCGGAGCCCAGCCGTATACCCGGCTAGCGACGCGTTACAACTGTACAAGAGGTACTAACCTGGATGACATGAAACTATGAAAGTGAAACGCAGCCGAACATTCGCCGGTGGATTTGCGGTTTCAGGGGGCCACTCCGTAGGTGTGTGTGGTGTGGCCCAGCCGAGCAGTTGATGGTCACCGCTAAGATTGAGCGTGGAAACGAACTACGGCACTGCTGGGGTGGGGGGCCCAATGCAGCAGCCAAAATGCGTGCCATCTATGATGCACATGTTATACAATGTACTCCGTACCCCACGTACACATACTCCTATATACTCCCTCCGTCCCAGAAAAAGACAAACATTGGTTTCCGTGTCCAACATTTAACCGTCTATCTTATTTAAAAAAAATTATGAAAAAAATTAAAAAGACAAGTCACGTATAAAATATTAATCATGTTTTATCATCTAACAACAATAAAAATACAAATTATAAAAAAATTTCATATAAAACAGACAGTTAAAGTTGGACAAGTTTGACTTTTTTTACGAGGGAGGGAGTACGTATCTCTACTTTACAATGACATTGATTGTCGTACGAGTACCGACAGCTGGAATACGTGGTTCGAAACATACGTGCCCTGGCTTTCCTGGGCATCAGGCCGGTCGAGGGGAATTCCACACCGAGCTCGCTGCCCGGTGGGCCCCGCTCCCAGGGCAGCAACTCCCGCGGTTTTTGCAACCGGCGAGGCGCACCGCGCACCAGCCAAGCCACCTCGCGCCCACCTCGCGGACGCCTCGGCCCTAAACCACCACGTTCCGTTCACCTCCTTTATCGCCGCTAATCTGGCCTCGTCCGCGTGCCTTTTCTTTTTTTTTTATTTTTTTGCCTTAGCGGGATCGCATTGTTTGGCGGGCAGACGAAAATAGCGTGAGGCGCTAGCATTTCGCGGGAGAAAGAAACGTGGAAGCGAGGATCCGAGAACGCTGGTCGCTCCCCATGCTTTCGCATGCATCGTGCGTTTGTGCTCCGGCTGAAGTGGAGACATAGGGGAAAACAAAACGTGGTCGACGTGCAAGGCGCCAAGGCCGGCAGGCGCGGCCGACGTGCGTACAACCTAAAAGAGCGGAGTTTCGAGTTTAAGAGGGTGTTTGGAAACTAGGGGCTAAACTTTAGTCCCTCTCTTTTATGAGAGGGACTAAAGTCCCAAACACCCCCCCCTAAACCACGTCAGCGGACAAAGAATCTGAAATTTATGTCATTCCGAAAAAAAGGAGCGTCTGACTAAAAAGATTTGTTTTCTGTCGGTAGGAAAAATACATTTCATATGTACTAAAAGGCACAAAATGGAGGAGAACGGTGCTTGCCAGCCGGCCAGCTTATACTGTCGATACGGTCTGGTGTAGTATATTTTGAAATGTCCGTGCGCATTGGATTCGTTTTTAGCTATGCGAGGAAGGCGCGCCTTTTTGACAGCCATTGCCGTTGTTACCGGTACCGGCGCAAGTGCAGTGCCGCACGTTGGCCCACGTTGTTTGGCAGCTCGTGCCGTCCCCGCGCCACTGCTCCAGGAATGGGCAGCCTTGCGCCAGCAGTTTGCAACGCAGCGCTAGCTTTGAATCGCGCAGCTGAGTGCGTAACGCTGAGGAAAGAAATGAAAGCGAAGGGGATTGTGGTGGGTGATGGCATTTGTCTCCAAGCAAGCCCGCAGGCTCCCACTGCGCGGGGCAAGGCAAGCAGGCAGCGGCAGGCAAGGCACTCGGCAAGCAAGCCCCTTCCCTTCCCCGGGCTTTGCTCTGCCAGCCGGTTTGTGCAGAAAAGTTAGCGCGCACACATGAAGAAAGCACTGTCTTTACCCTGCATGCAACTGACAAAATGTGGCAGAAGCATTACTACTGTCCCATCGTACCAGAGAAAAAAAAATGATTAGCCCGTTCACAATGCACTTGTTTGAGATATGAGAAAAAATTGAAATGAGAGTACCGGACATCAAACGAGATAAGCCATTAACATAATATTAATCATTTTAAATTTTAAAATAAATTCATATAATTTTTAAAGTAAATTTTAATAGATTTTTTCCGTTCATGAAGCGTGTGCGTTTCTTCCCCTCCGGCTTCTCTCGAACACTTCAAATGGCATTCAATCCCAACCTGTTGGCTATAAGATTTCTCTCCACATCTGCACCTCGTGTGCCCCTAGGAAGCCCCTCGCACTACCGCATAAGAGCAAGTTTAGGCCATATTTAGTTCGCACCAAACTTTCCACAAACTCTCAACTTTTCATCACATTACATCACATCTAAAACTTTCCTACTCACATAAACTCTCAACTTTCCCCAAACTTCTCCCCAATTTCAGAAACTAAACACGGCCTAAGGCTTACATACTACACTATTAATAACTGGTCTCACATGTCATACACACACTTCGTTTTGGAGTTCGTGCTACAGCTGGCTACAAATCTATAGCCCGCTGCTTCTCTCTCTCCTCATTTATCTTATTAAAATATGTTTGCAGCTAGGTTATAACCTGCTATTGTACCTGCTCTAAATACGACTTCCCCAACCGCCCCTCAAGCCATGTGACGTGTTCCCTCCTCCCATACACGAGTGTATGGCCGGGTTTAGTTCCCAACTTTTTCTTCAAATTTTCAACTTTTTCATCACATCAAAACTTTCATACACACATAAATTTCCAACTTTTTTCTTTAAACTTCTAAATTTAGCGTGGAACTAAACACACCCTTTATCTCTCTCCGCCGAGTCGTTTCGTTCCTCACGCATAGCCCATCCATCCCTCGCAGGTGATGACTTAGGGCACCCACAATGTGGATGAAAAGTGGGTAGTAAGACCCCTTACTACCTACTTTACCATTGTGAATATGGATAGTAGAGCAGATAATAACTATACCAGGCAATAGCACTACTACCTGGTAACAAGCATAAAAAAATATTAAACTCTCTTCTCTCACTCACTCTCTCTCTTTTCTATCCCATCATTGCTTTACATGTAGGTCATATCTTACTACCCACATATTGTATATTGTGTGAGGTAGAAACAACTATGAGTATGTTTAGATTTATTTGGAATGACAAATGGAAAAAGTGTTGGTGGCAAAAGTTTTGACGTTGCAAAAATACTAGTTGGTGTTTAGATGCATACTAAACTTTTGCTATTCTAGCACTTTTCGGTGGAGAGAGAGAGAGATAAATAGTGGTCCCAAAGCACGTTTTGGCACAATTTGCTACTATGGACTAGCAAATGGCAAATGATAAATTGTCAACTTTTACTAGTAGTGTTAGATCCAAAATGGCAAAAAGTGCTCTAAAATGGTAAAATTTTGGAGGATCTAAACCGGGCCTATAACCTAGTTTTGTGAGTCCCATCTTACTACCCACTTGATAAATATTTATTGATTATGCCCTTGGGGGAGGGTGGAAAGAAGTACGGCTACCAGGAACATACCAGTAGGGAGGAGGACACATCAACAATGTTGCAGCCTCACCAGGAGAGGGTATTAGGGCTTTTTCCTTGTTCTTATAAATAGGTCGTTTTTGTCAAATTCGATCTCACCAAAGGCCTATTTGTAAGAAAGAATAATTGCATTTTAACATTATAAAAAGACCCTCGACGTACATATTTTTGACGCCGATCCCTTTTGTGTTAGCAACTTACCACCATGTATCAGCATCGAGAGATGATCTATTTTTATTTTTTTATATACGCATTTTCAAAATAAAATTTTAAAACAACTAAATTATAAAATAGTCATGCAGGATATTTCGGTTGGTTCCGTTGCCACAATTCATCCATCTTACTAGTTTATACTCCTCACTTATATATATATATATATATATGTATATATGTATATATATATATATGTATATATGTATATATGTATATATATATATATGTATATATGTATATATATATATATGTATATATGTATATATATATATATGTATATATGTATATATGTATATATATATATGTATATATGTATATATATATATATATATATATATATATATATATATATGGGAAAATAGTTCTATACTCCTAGGGAGTACGTACTCCCTCTCCCATCCACCGTTCATTTGATCGATCAGATATGTACTCCCTCCCTCATCATAACGGGTTTGGCTCGGTGGATCCGATTAGTTTTTCTAATTAAAAGACCGGACTGCTTATTCCGTAATTTGGGGTTTGCTCCCAACAGGCCAAACAGATTATCCCGAAAATTGGGGTTTTGGGGGGCGGCGCGGCGACGGAACTGCGCGACGACGGACCAGCGATTCAGCTTTCGGGGTTTTGGGGGTCAGCGCGGCGACGGACCAGCGATTCAGCGGCGACTGTGTGGCTGGCGGCGGTACAGAGATAGCAGTTTGTTCCTTCCTCCAGTGATGACTCCTCCCCTTCCTCCAGCGATGGATCCTCTCTCAACAACATGTGTTCCTGAAGCAGAAGTAATCGATCTAGAGTCGGCTGAATGCAGGAGCGGGGCAACAATGGCAAAATCGATGGGCCATAGCAGTGGATTTCATCCAAAGCAGCAGGTTAGTATTCGTTTATTTTTGTACGGCAAGATCAAGACACGTTGCCTAAAATTTTCTTCTTTGCCGCAGGGTCACAGGAAAATTAGTTTGTCACCACAGTCCAAGGTATGCCACCTGAAATTGAATACATGTATGCCTGTAGAGAGGGATTAGGTGTAGTTCGGTTCATGTACTCTCTCAGTTTCAGATGCTAATTTTTCCCCTTTTAGTGCATATGATGGTTTTTTGGGTGGATGAAGTTAATGCTGTTTTAGCCCCCACCCCCATAAAGAAAAATGTAGATGGTAGTACGTACTGAATTTTCAACGGTATATACTCATTTTTTCTTTGGAGGGGAACTTTTTGGAATCTGCTAGACGGTATTAAGTATTGATTTTTGGTGTGGCAGGGTTCTTACTGAACTCTCTGTTAGGCAATAGTATATACTGAATTTTTATGTGGGGAGCTTTATTCTCTACTTTATTGGACGATAGCATATACTGCATTTTCCACATCTATACTGAATCTTTCCACAGTGATTCATAGACTGAACTTTGATACGCACCAGTATTTACTGAATTTTTCATAGATATACTGAATTTTTCTATGGGAGGCTTTGTACTGAGCTTTGTTATACGACAGCATATAGTATGTACTGAATTTTGTATGTGGTACATACTGAACTTTTCTAGAAGATAGCATATACTGCATTTTTCCACATATATACAGAGGCTTTTCCATAGTGGTTTACATACTGGACCTTGTTACGAAGAAGTATATACTGCACTTTTACATAGAGAGGTATATGCTGATTTTTTACATACAGTAATATTCTCTAAACTTTGCATATACTGACTTTTCTTTCAGTGCACATGATTTTTTTTTAATTAAGAGGGTACACATAGGTAGAATTTGCTACGCAGTATTTTGTACTTCATCTTTCCATACATATATGAGTGTATGCTGTTTTTTTTAAAAAATAGAAGTATATGTTGAAATTTTAAATACACTGGTCCATGTAGTATTGTCTATTTATGAAATGAAAAACTAATTATCTGCAGGCTTTGAAGGTTTCTGGCACAAGGGGCAGCCTAAATAAGACTGCTGCACGGGTGGTATCCAGGTATCGGCAAAGCAGAGTTTTAAATAGACAGAAGAAAGACAACACTACCTTTGGTATCAACTGCAGGTGTCAGCCCAAATGCGTAGTGAATATCATTAAAGAATTCGATGATAGGAAGAAGGAGTTGATTGGTGAAGTTGGGTTTGATGGACTTTTGGATATCAAGCTTACTAAGGTAAACAGGCAGTTTGGTGCATGGCTACTGAGCAAAGTTGATCCGAAATCATGCGCTATTGTTAAAGATGTCAACCAGGAGTTGCCATTCGGTCCTAATGATGTGAATGCAGTTTTTGGCTTGCCATGCTCAGGTCAACCTATTATCCCTTGCTCTCAAGATGAATTGGATGGGAAGAAACAAATATTGTGCGAAATATTTGAGATACCAAACTTTTCACACCTGAAAATATCACTCTTAGAGAGAATCCTAAAGAAGCAGTATGGTTATCCCATGACAATAGATGAAAAGAGGGTTTTCATGGCGGCTTTTGTGCTTTATGTCACAACGAAGCTTTTGGCACCGCAATCCTGCGCAAACTTCATATCTCCTAGGTATATTATGGCTGTTTCTGATGTTGACAATATAAAACAGTACAACTGGTCCCAATTCGTTGTAGATGAGGTGAAGAAAGCAGCAGAATCAATGCCCACCTGCTTTCCGAATAAGGCTCAACTATCCATTAACGGGTGTATCATCTTTCTAATGGTTAGCATTTAAAACTGACTTGTTAATGCAGCATACAATCAACACACATATTGTCATTGTGAATCATTTTTGCAGGTAAAATATTTGAGAAATCTCCAGTTCCGGAAGGTTGGGATCACATGTGTTAAAACATGTCACATTTCTCAGTTTGAGGATGATCAAATTGCTAGGATGATTCAACAAGATGTAGTTAGTAAACATAACCCAGGATTCCCCTTCCCTCGTTATGGGAAACTCCAGGTATGTACGATACCCTGGCTGTAATATGCCTATTTCTGGCTGCAAAATTTAGCTAATTTCCGATATACATGCTGTTCAGTTGATGAAGGAACCAAGAGAAAACAACCCCCATGTGCCAGAGCTATCTCCCCTAAACTTATGCTCCGGTTCGAAGATCCCATCTAGAGCCATTGATGGCGGTAAAAATTTAATAAAATTCTTGGAATCACACTTCTCTTCGTTAGACGTACGTGGAACTGTCGGGTCACAGGTATGTCAACCATCCGTATGCTATGTTACTTGATTGTTTCTTCATTAAGTTGTAATTTTCACATGATCAAGGGATTTTAAACTAACATGTGGTATATATGATAACATAAAACAGGCATACGAGGAGTTGAAATCTTACGTTCAGGATGGATTCGACCGCATCGATGAGATTTTGCCTACCATATCAGATTTCGTCGACATAAGCACCATGCAAACTGCTATTCACGCATCTAACCTATTCAAGAGAGCTTTCAAGACTAATATTACAACGGCAGTTAAGATAGCGATAAGGGCAGCAGTAACGAAAGTTATTGATACCATTGAGGATATACAAGGTCCTCTCCATCCATGGGGAGACACAACTGCCATGGGATACCACACACCCACAAACTACTCCACACATGCTACAAAAGATGCTAGTCAATTGGATCAACCAACAGGTAACGTTGAGTACATACACCATTTTAAAAATAAAACTCGTACTACTTGACACTCTAACAAATTTTCGGACGCTCTTCATGTATCAGATACCCAACAATATGATCACAAAATTGGAGGCTTGCAGTGTACTCCTCCAAAATCTAATGGAGCTCCAGGTTGGTGTACCAAAAGATTAAAAATTTCAACCAACAATGTGTTTACTCCTGATCATGCGAATGTTTTCAGATTCGAAAAAAAGGCCAAATTCTTCAGTATCGCCTACGTCGGGAACTCGCATGACTAACCAATGTTCCATTATGCTAATTGAAGAATTCGGTAGCGATGGGCAGAAGAAGCGCAAATACACCGTTGAAAACCCACCATCTCACTTGCTGAAGCACAAGTCAAAGCGTGTAGTCAAACCAAACAGGAAGCTCATGTCACCTTTCATGTCAAAGCAATGCTCAACGGAGAGGCTGGAATCCAGGATTGCTGACGACCTGTATTCCTATATAATGTCTATTTCTGACGATGCATCATTAGAGTAAGTATCATTCTTCTTCCAGAATAATTAAGCATCTCACCCCACCAAATCTGACATTCATTTTTATCCATGGTTTATTTCAGAAAAACATGGCTGCAGAGCTCCCATCCTTTCATAATATCATTGACGCTACGAAACATCCAAGAAACTATAAAGATTGGGAGCCAAATGGATTCAGATTCTCTCAACCTTGCAATTCGAATAATGTTCCAACAAGAAGTTGAGAGATTTCACAACACAAACTACCTTGGTTGGAGGCATTTCATTAACCAAGATTTTGGGGTAACATTGCATGCAATAAACAATATATTTCTTTCATCAATAAAAATATAAATTCAATGATTCTTTCTGTATTGTCAGATGTACGCGCTAGCTGGTGAGGAATTTTGGGAAGCTAGCCATCAACTTGCACACTTCTCGGGCCCAGAGGTAGTATATGATGTTTCAGAAAGCCACCTGGTGAGTACAAATTTGCAGTTCGTAGATTGTAGAAACTCTTGTAAACAATAGTACAGAAGTAGTCCCACTGAAAAACCTAAACTTTGCAGATACTGATTCCTGTTCACCTATTCAATCATTACGTGCTGTACGTATTTAACATGGAGAGCAAGAAGTTATCGGTGCTTGATTCACTAAACACAGAAGATCCACTAGGGGAATCACGTTTCACCAGGCATGACAAGATAAAGATCATGGTGTCACAGTGTGTAATGGAATGCATGCGTCTTGCATCTCCAGGGTGGAACATGGACATACTTAATTGGGACTTTGAGACAGTTGAAAATATACCAGAGCAGCAGAACGGGTGAGTGACTCCTAAAACAAACGAAATACAACCAACCCAAAGCTTGTACTGACACTACTTTCTCAAAAACATACAGGGATGACTGTGGCTTTTACGTATTCAACTATATGGTGAACTACGATGGTCGTCGTCTTCTGAACCCTATTACAGAGGTACATAATGCTTTCATATCCGCACACACCGCACTCCACCATAAATATGTCCTCATAAAGCTATAAAGAAAATACTCTAACTTTCGCAGGACCCGTACTACCTCCGGAGGCAATTTTTGATCCACCTTTTGACTCTGCGTGATAACGAGGCAATACTACCAGAATATGTGGTGGACCGTCTTCGACAAATTAAAGACAATTAGTTTAGCAATTTTCTACTTCTAGCTTTACCAGAACATTTTCATGTAATCTTCGAAATACACTTCTGTCCTATCTTGACAGAATCATGAAAACATTGCTATGCATGGACAAAGTATCGTCTGGGTTGCAATGACAGTTGCACGAACTGTGCTATGGAAATTATTCACTATGCCAAACAATAACAGTATGTCATTTACTTCCATTTATCATTTTCAACGGGAGGATTCAATATATGCGGTGACTCTGCGTAAATTATGTCATTGACTCTGCGTGATAACGAGTCAATTGCTATCGATAATTATGTCCATTTCAGTGAACGGGAGGATTCAATACATTGCACAGCTAATTTCTATCTCCATACCTAAAAAAAACAACTCATATCCACACCAAATCACACTCCTTTTGCAAACAATGATCGTCATAAATACCAGTATACTATATCTCTTTCTCTCTTTATAGAGAAAGCACCATCATCCAAATGAAACTAATTACAGCAGACATCCATTTTTAACCGGTGCAAATACACTACCCAAAAAAGACACAATTTACTACTAGAAGCATACTTTACTTAAGGTCGTATATACTGACCAATCCACAGGTTACATAATCTTAATAAATTGCTCATAGGATGAAAAAACACACGCCTCTCAAAAATTTGTTCACGTACTTAAAACAAAACAACTTCTAACAATCAGAGGAGTCCCAACTAAACTACAGGGAACCATATTCTAAAGTTTTCTCTTGTACGTAGATGTCCGGCCGCAAGTTCGCGAATTATGACCAGCTTCGTGGCATGTGTGGCAAAACCTACGAGGAAAGGGCACTTCATCATCATGATCAATGACTTGGTTTTCTTCTTCAACGGACTCACACTCATTGGTTGTGTTCTTCTTCTCAATCCCTACTTCTTTTCTTCTTTTCAGGCTGGCAACCTCACCACCCGATTTATACCTATTCACCTTAGGTCTTCCTCTGCTTCTCTTTTTCAACGGTGGAAGTATATCAGCAGTCAAATTTCCACCCTCGTCCTCACTTGGCACGTCATACTCACTGTCCTCATCACCTCCACCAACATCTTCGTTTCCATCTTTAGTCAATACAGTAGACCTTGATTTATGCCTAGCTGCTCGCTTCGGAGCTTCTCTACTATTGTCACCATCATCCAAAGATAACTGATTTTTCATGTCCTCCAAAAGCTTATTCATGACTGTCATTGCCATCTTAAATGTCTGCACATCTTTATTAGCAATCTTAGCCACCTCCACAGTCTTCCTTTTCAGCATTACATGTATGTAACTCCTCGATTGTGAAGCATCGACATCATCTTTGTACCCATGTAGATGAGGTGGTATAGTATCCCGAGCATCCTTCGTCCATCTTTTCAGTATATACCTCTCTGGAATTCTTGACAAACCATACTGAACAAGTACCTAAAGGGACAAACCAATGCATTACTTCAAAAAGCCAAACACTACCGAACATATAGTACGACCCAATGAAAATAAATGTTTAGACAGTAGAAGAAACAAATACCCTTAAGATGTGGCTGCACAGAATCCCCTTATGCTCAAACATCTTGCAAACGCATGAAAATTCCTCTCTTTCCAAATCACAAGACACCTGATATTCCTTCCTAAGGAATGATTCTTGCGAGTTCATCCGTACAACTTGCACGGTGCTTTCGTCCTCCCCAGGTTTCACCATGTAAGATATACTATCGGTTAACTCCTCAGAGAACAATTGGAAAACAGCCCTAGTATATACTTGGGATGCGTGAATCTCTATCGGTGACCTTGTTTTAATTTCAACCTTGTCCTGCACCAAGCGACACCAAATGTTGATTACACATATCCATAAAAAGAGGTCAACAAACCTATCACAGTGGATACTTACATTACTGGTTTGGAATTCCTCCGAGTCCTCTTTTTGCAGCTTCTCATTGAAAAACCGGTCGTACCTCTTAACAAAGCCATTCATAGAGCTAGAGGGTGACACAAACATCTTAAACACATGGTTTGCAGACTCACTTCTCTGTGTAGTAGTCATCCCAGCAAAGAACCTATGGGAAAAATATACAAATGCCCATTTACGCCTTATGTCCCATATGTGACGCAAGTAAACACTTTTTTCCAGATTATAATCTCTAATCAGTTTGTGCCAAGCCGCAACAAACTCCTCCTCTGTTAGTGTCTGCGTAAGAACCTTATGAAATGCTTTCTTGAATGTATGACACTTGGAGTATATGTTCCCCATAAATTCCTTTGCTTTCTTCAGTACATGCGACTTGCACACACGATGGATTGTATTGGGAAATACTGTTCTAATGGCAGCTGCCATGGAAGGACAATTGTCTGCAAAATTAAGGACAATAATAAGCATCCAATGAATAACCCATCATATACTTAAAATAAGTAAAGTATAACGAATTCATTCCAAATTATAAATTCGGCCAAATACTCACATACCTGTTAATATTCCAATAGGAACCTTCCCATTCATGCACTCTTTGAATGTATTGAATAACCATGTAAATGATTCTTCAGTCTCTTCTCTAAGCAGGGCACAACCAAAGAAGGTGCTCTGAAAGTGATTGTTTACACCAACAAATGGTGCAAAGGGCATATTATACTTGTTTGTTTTGTAGGTAGTATCAAATGTGATGACATCACCAAAATGCTCAAAGTTCAATCTGGACACAGCATGAGACCAAAATATGTTCTTCACACGGCAAGCCTCGTCAACTTGTATACTATAAAAGAAATTCTTGCTCCTTTTTTGCAAATCCTTCAAGACATCAAGTGTTTTTTGCATGTCATCGCTGCTCTCATCCCGCCTAATTGCATAAGCAACCCTATCCATAGCTTTTCTCGTGAATGGAACCATGGAAGGTCCGCCATGCATCCCAGACAACATACCATACATATTTGTAAGACTCATACTACTGTCTACCATCTCTTCAATAATACCACGAGTCCCCTCATCTATTTGATTGTGCGACTGATAATTCTTAGTAACTCCTACACTTTTTTTCATAGGATGGTTGTGCGCAGAAACAACCTTTGTTACTGACCAGCCACTACCAGCTCCAGACATATTTATCTTCATCATTGCTGGGCACCCAATTCGAACGGAAGGCTTCTTGGTTTTTGGGTTCCTCCCCTGCATAAAAGATTTCGAAATTAACACATAGTACGTCAAGTCTTTATTTAGGTAAATTTCTGCTACTAAGATATTGTTACATAATGTATGTACCTGGTGAGAACAACATATTTGCCGCATTGTTCTCTGCTTTTTAGTATTCATGTGATCTTTGTCCAGTCGTATCCCAAATCCTTTACTAACAGCATAAACATTATAAAAATTATAGGCATCCCTCTCAGTCTTAAATCTTTGTCCCAGCATCGGAGTAAGAATTTGAGGATCAGCAGGAGGTATGACAGCACTGCTATCAACATTATCTACCACCATTCTGAAAAGAAAATGTACAATCAGTTTTCAGAAAATACCACCAATATCCTGGCTCAAAAAAAATCGTAAAAATCCGTAACATGCTGATACAAACCTTTCCATCGGTATCCTAGCTCCTTCTTTTTCATATGGGTTTCCTTCTGTCCAATCCAGTGAAGGGACCAAATTTCTGTATTGGAGACACTATATTTAAAAATAGCATATACTACTACTAACTGAAAATGTAGTTTACAAAAAACAACCTAATTTATAATCAGTACTTACTGCAAATTTAAAAAAAATATATGTTGTACTACTAACAAAAAAATATGGGGAGCTTTGTTCTGAACTTTGTTAGATGATTGTATATACTCATTTTTTAAAATGGAGGGGTTCTTTCTGATTTATGTTGAATGATAGTATGTACTGAATTTTTCTATGGGTTACGTACTGAATTTTTCTAGACGATAGCATATACTGCATTTTCCACACGTATACTAAATCTTTCCATAGTGATTCGTAGTCTGAACTTTGATACGCACCAGTATTTACTGAATTTTTCACATATATACTGAATTTTTCTATGGGAGGCTATGTACTGAACTTTGTTATACGACAGCATATAGTATGTTCTAAATTTTCTGTGCAACATACTGAACTCCTCTGCAATATAGCACATACTGAACTTTTCTATGTGATACATACTGAACTTTCCTAGAAGATAGCATATACTGAACTTTCTCATGTGACACATACTGAACATTTCTATGTAGTATATACTGCTTTAAAGTGAATGCTCAGCTGACACCTAGCCATGCACATACCTTGTCTCTGGAATTCCATGCCCTGAATCATGTGATCCAACCCGCGACGGCACGTCCTCCTCCATTGCTACACGGCTTCATAACACAATCAAGATGTGTCAGTATCTGGCTACCATTTACAGAGTTTTAAATTCACGGAAGCTACGATCCAACCTTGACTGACCACCATCCGGTTGTGAATCATGGACAGATTGACTAATACCATCTACTATGTCCATGGTAGGGTTGCGCTCGTCCATAAGAATTTCCCTGAATTGATGATTTAGAATTGCTCAAGTTCACACGGCGAAATTCAGAGAAAAAAAACCAGCGGCACATACTGAAATAAATCACTGAAACAGAACAACATACCTTGATCCATCCGTACCATCAGAAGGTCTGTGGTTCTTCACTTGTTTATCCATCCTAAATCAGCACCGCCGCGCGGCGGCGTATCCTCGAGCTGGACTACGGAGGTCCAAACCAAGTTCCTGCAGCCCTGAACAAATGAAGCAGTATGTGGTTTGATGATATAAATACCATTCCTCACCGCCCATTACCTGCGTACAGACCGATTCTTCAGGGATTAGTTATACACGAGCAGTCAATTAATTCAATTTTTAAAACAAAATGCCATCCACGATCCACTAATGGGTAGATACCGCACGTCCCCTTCACTGCTAACCCGTTATCAGGTACAAATCTCAAAGGTAATCAACGGTATGAGGGTAGGGAGTATGTACTCCCGGGAGTACATAATAGCCTTCCTATATATATATATATATATATATATATATATAATGTGAAAATGATCTGGAGATAATGATTTGACATTGCTTATATACTGAGTTCTAAAAACACAACAAAACTATAAATGATCTGTCATATTTACATGATATTTAAAATACTCTAGATAATAATTGCTAGCGGATAATAAAGTTGGTACACTTGCATGCGATTGAAAAATTTGTAGATAATAATTGCTAGTGGATGATGATGTGACACTTAAATGTCAAGATTTAGGAACGAATCTGGACAAACCTTTGTCCAAATTCATTATTTTTGGGTCACATCCCATTCTAAATTGAGTTATTTCGGGACGGAGGGAGCAGTGGACATAAATTACTCTAGTATATACTCCCTCCGTTTCAGAATGGAACAACATAGTAATATTAGATGATATTTACATGATATTTAAAATACTCTAGATAATAATTGCTAGCGGATAATAAAGTTGGTACACTTGCATGCGATTGAAAAATTTGTAGATAATAATTGCTAGTGGATGATGATGTGACACTTAAATGTCAAGATTTAGGAACGAATCTGGACAAACCTTTGTCCAAATTCATTATTTTTGGGTCACATCCCATTCTAAATTGAGTTATTTCGGGACGGAGGGAGCAGTGGACATAAATTACTCTAGTATATACTCCCTCCGTTTCAGAATGGAACAACATAGTAATATTAGATGAGGCCTATCATAGAACAATCTATCGGGACATGTAGATATATATTATCCTATCAGGACGATTGTTATCGCGACAGTGACCTAACGTCGTCCTACGGGCTACGGCGTCTCTCTTTTGAATCGGGGAAGCCATCGGCCGGCTGTTTCGTGGCGTACACCGGGGTCTTGGGGGCGGGGCTCGTGATTGATGGGACAGGCCTCTCGCTGTGCACGTCCTCCCTCCTCTCCGTCGTTACGCCGTAGCCTTGTAGTATGAGAGTAGACGAACCGAGCCCCGGCTATTGTCACGGAGCCTGGTCGGTCACGGTCGTTTCTTGGGCCTCCGCGCACTGTACTCCTACTCGCCTTCCCGGAGATATTTTTGGTTCCTTCCGTTGTGCTAGTTTCTGTTCCGATACGTAGCGTACAACTCTTTTTTGCATTTTCACGTCACGTACTGTAGAGAAAACTCGTCTGCTTCCAATGTCAACTGGCAATGAGTGCGTTTCTGGCGCAGGCAGGCAGCTACTAGCAACCGTGCATGCCACACTAAGAGCAAGTTTAATAGTATAGCCAACTACTGGCTCTAACTTATTTATAGCCAATGTAATAGCCAATTAATATAATAGTTGCTTACTATACTATTAATACCTGGTCCTACCTATCATACACATAGTACGTCTTAGAGTCCGTACTGTAGCTGGCTACAGATCTGCAGCCTGCTGCTTTTCTCTCTCTTTTTTTTATCTCTTTAAAATATGTTTATAGCTGGCTTATAGCCTGCTATTGTACCTGCTCTAACGGAATAGTTTTTTTGCACGACGCTTCAGGAGTTCAGGTAGCATAGAGTCTAGGGATGGCAATCGGGCGCGATGGGTACGGGTAGTGCCTACCCATACCCGTGCCCATGAGATTATTTTTGCCCGTGGGTATACCCATTACTACATGACGGGTAAGGATGGTTGCCCATGCCCATCGCCCGCGGGCGTCTTGTGCCCGCGGGCGTGCCCGTTTACCCGCCACAACAAAAGTAGTGGAACAAAAAGTCTACAACCTTCTAAGTTTGATATCGAACTTAAAACATCAAATATTCTCTGCCTCGGTGTGGTGTCTCTCCTCTGACGGCGACAGAGTAAGAGGGAGAGATAATAAGGGAAATAAAAGGGAAACCGTAGAAAACAAAGAACGTGGCTTATGTATTCTAGTGGATTTTGCTTCTAGCCTACATGTAAGTTAGATTTCGCGGGTAAACGGGCAAAGCGGGCATGGGTAGTGATTACCCATACCCATGTCCATTTACCCATCGGGCATAGCTTTTAACCCAATAAAATACCCATGGGTATAAAATGGAGAACAAACCCAATCCTAATAGGGTTTTTACCCACGGGTAAACGGACAAACGGGCACAATTGCCATCCCTAATAGAGTCCCATCGGTTAGGGTGTACTCCCTCCGTACTCGTAAAGAAATTCGTTTTAAACAGCGACACGGTTTCCAAAACACAACTTTAACTTTTTATTTCTATAAAAATATTTATTGAAAAGTGATATATTTATACTTTTATGAAAGTATTTTTCAAGACAAATCTATTTATATAATTTTTATATTTTCAACCTCAACAACTTGAGAGTTATTCATGATTTATATTCCCAAGATTTGACTTAAACATTGTCCTAAACGACTTCTTTACGAGTACGGATGGAGTATTAGTTCGTGAAATAAAATTTTTTTAGTGTCACATCGGACGTTTGACCAGATGTAGGAAAGGGGTTTTCGTACATGAATAAAAAAAACTAATCATAACTTGTCTGGATACCGCGAGACGAATTTATTAAGCTTAATTAATCTGTCATTAACATGTGTATAGCACTTATGGCTAATCATGGACTAATTAGGCTCAAAAGATTCGTCTCGCGATTTCCATGCAAATTATGCAATTAGTTTTTTTATTTATATTGCTCTATGCATGTGTCTAAAATTCGATTTGACGTTTTTGGCAAAAAATTTTGGTAGCTAAATAAAATTTGAATTTTTAAACTTGATTTGAAGTTGATTTTAAGATATTCTCGATATTTTTAGCATTGGTTTTTAAGCCGCTACAAACAAATATATAAAAGTTTTACCTACAAATTAAATTTTATTCTTTAATAAATTGTTTTGGGTTATTAGGAAATATGGATAACCGATGAGTCTCTTATATTAAGGGAGTACTGTACTAAGCGGGATAGGAACAAAAACGGTCTTTCATATTATTACTATTTTTTATATGATTATAAATTTAACTACTCCAATACATCTTAAAATACATTGAAACGAAAATGATATTATTTTTATATTATTTACAAAAACATTATTAGCACGCTCGGGAATTTCTATACCCTTTTTGACCTTTTCACCTAGGAGGGAGGCAGGAAGAATTACTAACTGCAGCTTTGAAAACATTAGTCTGTTCTACTACTATTTGTACCAATGGACAGAAAATTTTCAAGTGTCTAGGCACTTTACATGTACGGATGACACGCTTGATTAACAAAAGGAGCTCGGGTAATATAACCTACTATGTTACCCATCGTTCTGCTAGAGTTTTTTTTAATCAAAATACTTAACGTTCTCACGATCCAAAGCATCCCCTCTTACTACTCTTTACTAATGCAGTCACACATTAATACAGTCTTAACTCTAATTGTCTCATTTGTTTGAGAAAAATATTAAGATGTATTTAAGTATGGTATATTTGCTAAAATGATAACTTATTCCGTCCATAGTAACATAGTACTACATATCATATAGATACAAATTAGTACTACAAATCTGAATAGATATGATAATATTGGGTTATGTTTACTATAAATTATATGCTAGTAGAACTCAACAACCTGGGTGGAAATGCCGGCGCCATGATTAATTCCTGGTGGCTAAGACATGGTGTTAATTATGCACCTGTAATTGCACTCTCACACCAAAAAGCTCGAAAGGGACTCCAGGATATGAAATGACCATGATCTTAAGAGGTTATGTTTTGCCCTAGCCAGAATTTAATCATCTTTGTAGACAACAATGACGGCATCTGCTTGTTGGTTTGATAGCCAATTGTAATGTTCTTATATATATATATATATATATATATATATATATATATATATAATATAGAACTACCAATTGTAAAGTTTGAATTTTTATCTCCTACTACAAAAGTGCAGTTGTCCTCCTTCCACCCGTGTATTGCCCGCAGCACGTTCGTTGTGCTTGCGTAATCACCAGTTGAAATTTAATTTGAGTTAAATTTTGATGTTTTCCGTCGTAGTCTAACTTCCTAAAAACATCCATCCATTCCGAACAGGAAAATATCCAAATTACACCTCTAAATTATTGGGTGAATACGAATTAATCCTCTAAACCCGAAAACCAAATATCTTTCTCCCTTAACTATCAATACCAGATGAACCCCAATAACTTTGGAAGCGGTTTTGGTACTACGTGGCTGTCTAGTCAGCAATTCTTTTAATAAAATGATGGGGCCCACCTGTCAGATCTCTCTCATCTCTATCTCTTCCCTGTCTCACCCATCTCTATCATATGTCAAGGAGGAGCCCCGTGTACCTACGGAAGCCGAGGACGAGCTGTGCATTGGTGGCGGCGACGACACATGTGCACACCGTTGTGGACGGCCTTGGGTGCGGCATGTCTCAGCGGCAGTGACGACGACGTCAGCGACAAGCTCACGAGGCGGTCATGCAGGAGGCGCGCGCCAGCAGAGGTCAAGGAGGAGCCACCTCCACCGCTTGCCGCCTTCGTCACTTGCCATCTGAACCGATTGACATAAGGGGAGGGAGAAGAGAGAGAGGGCCGCCTCCACCGCTCGCCATCCTCGGCTGTCTCAAGCTCCGCTCGCCGCCATCCTTGACTCCCCCTCCGTCGCTCGCCATATCTGTCGACGGGAGATATCCGTAGACCGTATTCTGAGAATGTTGGAGTATGTTGGAGTAAGGATCTATACGATATGACATCAAGCACACAAAAAACAAGGATTATATTGGTTCAGGTCCCTCATAAGGTAGTATCCCTAATCCAATTTATATAGGATTATGAAGAACCACAAAGCTTACAATAGAGAACAATGGAACCGACGAGTACCGATTAGACCTTTGTCGAGATCGACTAGCGGCTGGGCTTCGAGTCCTCCAAATTGCTACTGCTATGGCTGGTGTTGCGATTATGATTCGATGATCCCGTACCCCCTAGAGGTCTTGTATTTATATGGAGAACTCGAAGAGGACCACACACTGGTGGAGAAGTGCTTTTTACTACCGGTTCATAACCCTTTGTAGTCCCGGTTTTCTATCCGGGACTACGAATCCGGGACTAAAGATCGATATCTTTAATCTCGGGTGAAATAACCGGGAGTAAAAATCTATTTTTAGTCCCGGTTGGTGTTATCAACCGGGACTAAAGATAGAGCATTTTTAGTCCCGGTTGGTAACACCAACCGGGACTAAAGATAGAGCTAGGCTAGCTAGATCCAGTTGCTCCATTATTCTTTTCTTTTCTTCATTATTTTTAATATATTGATTTCACTCCATCCTCATCTCAAAATCCCAAATCAATCATCCCCAAATCCTCAAATCGATCATATCCAAATACATCACAAAATCTTAAAAAAAATTACATCACAACTTTTACAAAATTTATCACTAACACATCACATATTCACATCACACACAAATCAAATACATCTCAGATCCGAATCACAAATTCTCAAAAAAAAACAAAGAAACGCCCGCTGCCGCTGCTGCGCCGCCCGCCGCGAGGTCGCCTGGCCCTCAGCCCGCCGGATCGCCGACCGCCGCCGCGAGGCCGACCGGCCCTCTGCCCGCCGCCGTGCCGCCGCAAGGCCGCCGGCCGCCCGAGCCTCCACGCTGCCCGGGCCTCCGCGCTGCAGATTAAGAAGTGGGGAGGATGGGAGGGAAAGGAGGAGAGGCGCCGTCGGGCCTCTGCGCTGCAGATCAAGAAGTGGGGAGGATTGGGGAGGGAAAGGAGGAGAGGAAGAGATAAGGTGTAAGAAGCTAGTTAGAGGATAGGAGGAGCCGGGGGTTAAAGGGGAGAGAAAGGAGGAGAGGAAGAGATAAGGTGTAAAGAGTTAGAGGATAGGAGGAGCCGGGAGTTAAAGGAGAGAGGAGTGGGAAGGAGGAGGAGACCTCGATCCTATCCGCGCGCACACCTCCCCGTGCATGTCGATCTTTTTTCCCGGTTGGTGTTACCAACCAGGACTACAAATAGATCTTTAGTCCCGATTGGTAACACCAACCGGGAGTAAAGAGTATGTCGATCTTTTTTCCCGGTTGGTAATACCAACCGGGACTAAAGATCAAAAAGTACCTCTGAGCTTTTAAACCGGGACTAAAGATGTTTTTAGTCCCAGTTTTTAATACAACCGGGACTATTGTGAAATCTGGCCGACCGACCAAAGATGGTTTCTCCACTAGTGACACATGTACGAGATTTCAAAGTCCACATCCATCTAAACAAGACTCTAACACCTTTCATTCAGAAGGATGGTTTCCTTATACTTCGACCAAATTCCTTATGATTATGATAACCTTCTGTATACTTGAGGGTATACCATATTTATATATTGCGTAACCCTATCAATATAAGGTATGCCTTATTCATAACCCTTAATATCCTCGACTCCCCCTCCGTCGCTGTCTCGATGACAGAGAGAGATGGAGGTCAGGGAGGGAGAAGAGAGAGACAGAGAGAGCTAGAGTAGATAGAGGTAGTAGAGAGGTGAGGGGAAAGAGAGAGGGTGAGACTCGAGAGACTAACAGGTTGGGCTCGCTGATTTTATTTTTTAAAAAAGAGTTGTTGACTCAATTGTCACATAGAACCAAAACAACTTCATATTAGGTTAGGGGATGATTCGTTTGGTATTAATAGTTGAGAATAAAAGATATCTAGTTTTCAGATTTAGGGATGTAATTAGTACTACTCGTCCAATAATTCATAGGATAATTCATACTTTTCTCTTCTGAATAAGCCTCAACGGCCGTACTTCTATCGAAGTAGAAGTAGTACCGAGCAAAGTCCAATAGGATATTTCCCATGATACCTTTTGGATCTGGGTAGAGATATCATGTCTTTATAGTACTGATATATCCTTTTCTGAACCGAAGATAATACTGATATCTCTTCCATTTAGAAAGCAAATATCTTAGCTCGCGAGTGGATCCATCATCCATGTGTAAAGCTGGAGTAGTTTGGAAATTGACAATGCATGTCGCTGTACTGCCGCATCAATGAGAAGATCAGAAAACGCTATCCATGTGCATTATACTACTCCTACGTGCTAACAGGGCGTCGGCCCGTTTAGAATCCAAAATCTTCGGGTGGAAGCAAAGGATTGCGCCATAATCACTTTTTATGCCTTACGCAGATCTTTTCCGGACACACGGTGGTAATATCATACTCTATTTTCTCTACTGGTGTACTCCAGATAACAATGTGACAAGGCGAGATTCTACTCCATTTCTGGCCATCGTGGTTGTAACTTGTAGATGGCAAGCGTCCTTTCGGGCCTATGGATGGTCATTTGCTAATTGCTTACAATTATCATCTCTCTAGTGGCTCAGCTAACACGTCGAGTAAGTACAATTTGATCCACATCATTACAAAATCACTATTTAAAATATATCATTACTATTTATAAAACCTATTATATGATCACTAAAATTTTACAAAATTTAATCCGAGCCATTGCTATAACTTGTCGTCGTGCCTTAGGCCTCGCCAGTGAGCCACTGGAGAGGGTTGGCATCGAGGATGAAGAAAGACTGCCGTATACAGCATGGGGCCAGGGCAACTCTCCCTGGGCACCTTCCTAGCCATCTGGCCAAACAACAGTCGTATGTCATGAGATATATATGTCACCACCACCACAGAGTTCGCGAATGTCTATGGCATGAAAGATTGTGAAGGTGTCTGAGACGCTGGTGCAGGCGCCGAAGAAGATGCCGACGCGACGACGGTCATGGCTAGGGCAAAGATGAGTGGCGAGACATCTTTTCGCCTCCATTTGGTTAGATTTAGTGTGCGGTGCTGCTACACTAGCTGAGCTCTAGCCCTGAACTACTACAAAGGTTCACTTTATTTTCTACCACTATTTCTCTTTTTTATAACTCTATATAAGTTAAATTCCACGTGAAATTTCGATAGGATGATAAATGCATTTCAATTTAATCTATATATTTTTTCTCATTGGAGTAAGTTCAAAGCATATAAGAACATTCCACACGTAAGCTCGAGAGAAAAGAACAAACGAGTCAGCGACGGCGATGTTCTGGGGAGAAAAGCGAGCGACGAGTCGTCTGCTCGTCGCGCGGCGCGGATGCTCGGCCGCACGCACAGCGCAGGTACACACATGGGGGTGGCGCCGTGGTCGCTGCCGTTTCGATTCGCATTCGTGGAATTGTCGTGAGCTCGTGGCGGCAGCGGCGGCGCAGCGCGCTTTCGGTCGCTTGCGATCCGTTGGTCGGCCGACGTGGCGGTCACGCGTAGGCCGGTCCGGATGGCATCGGATGTTCTACTAGCAGCCTTTTTGGCACAGCAAAAGCGAAATCTTTCGCCGCTTTACAGAACGGCATCTCGGCGATTTGCGCTGCACAGTGCACATACGTTGGTGCTTTGCGTTCATGTGCTTCTTTCGCTTGCGTGAGTGGTGCTAGTAGCAGTTATCCAGCCTCTTGCTCCGCTGGAAACATCGGCAGATCTGCCAGTGCCAAGTACTGGGAGAATTAGCAGTCTGAATGTCTGATGGCGAACTCACAGTCACAGATGCAAGAAAGGATTTGTCCTTAAGGTGCTTTGCTTGAGAAAAATGCTGGACTTGAAGTTCACCGATTGCATCTTAGTTGCTTCCAGGCTTAGAAGTACGTACAATTCAACTATATTTAGTTAAGAAAAATCAATTTCAGACCCTTCTAAGAAAAAGTAAAACCCCTAGTAGCTGTCAAGTGCGAATTAAGTCTAAAACGCCACTCCTGCACCAAGTCTAATTTACTGTATTCCATTTTTGTTGATCTCCCTGCTGTTGCACCGGCAGAGACTGTACGCTCTATTACGGATTGGGTGGCGAAATTTGTTGTCAAGTCGAGCTGCTTACGGAAACCACTAGCACCCTGCACCCGACTTGTTCCACAATCACCCGCTAACCCACCAAATCGACCAGAAGAGACCGCGAAACGATAACCAATCCAACGTTTCGCGTGAACCAAACCATGTTGGAAGTATGCGGTCATCTCATCTTCAGGTGCTTTAATAATTCCTCTGCACTTCGAGAAGGCACTGCGTGTTGCGTATTGCACTGAACAATCTTTAACCGTGGTCACACCGAAAATTATTGGCGACCAGAGGAGTCTCTTTCGCCCGGGCAGTCTGCTACCGGTTGATGTTTCAATTTCAGTCGCGTTGTTTTGGTTATTGCTAACCTAACCGGTGACCATCCGGGGATCGAAGTCGAGCTCAAATAATTTGGTTCTGGTTCTACTCGGACAGCGACATCGCTGTTGCCAGGGGCGGACCCAAGGGGTAGTCCAGATAGGCCTAGGACTACCCTAGAATTTGGCCCAGAGAAGACCCAGCATTCAGTTTTATTGGCCCACGAAAAAAGCCTGGCCCATCAAACAAAAAAAACCCTAATATCTTCTTCTCTCTCCCGTGCAATCTCCCCTCCCTTTCCGCCACTGCTCCCAAGTCCCAAACGACCGACGGCGACGACGGTCCCGCGAGCCGCGACTCCGGCGCTCCTGCCGTCCCGCGAGGCCGCTACTCGCGCCGTCGTTCCTCCCGCCGCGTCCAGCTGGCGGGCGGCGGCCTCCCGGCTCCCGCCAGGCGCGCGCCCAGCCGTGGTAGCGGCGCCGCTGCCTTCACGCGCCGCGCCGGCGCCCACGCGGCGCCGCGGCCGCGCACTCTCCACGACTCCCTTCGCCCCTCGCCGAGTCACCAGCGTGCCCCAGGCCTGGCCGGCTAGCGCACCCTCTCCGGCCGGCGGTTCCAGCACCCAGCCGGCAGCCGCCCAGGCGCCACTGCCTCTCCGCTCCGGCTCTCCGCCTCTCTGGACTCCGGTGAGTAATTCTAAACCTACTAGCTGATTTTGTCATTACTTTTTGGCCGTATTAGCCATAGATGTACATAATGACAACTATCATTTAGGCATTGAACAATATCAACAAACATGTTTAGAGAAATTCTTGGAACGATTAGTTATACATGAAGTAGAATCAGCTATTTTCCTATTTCTGAAATAGAGGCGAAAGACCGAGCAAACCATACTACTAGTGTACTACCCCTTCAATTTCATATGACAATTTTGCATGGTTTGATGGTTGTTAGGAGATTGAGCGTGATATCTTCTCTGATGTAAGTGAGGAAGACATAATTCACTCTTTCGTGACCATGAAGAAGCGTAAAGCTTAGTCTTGACTAGTATTAAGTATTGTAATATCCTATTTACATTGTTATTTAGGTAAGATTCAAACTTATTTGTTACTTTCTACTTGTATTGAATCATTTAGAGTTGCATACCGTATCGTTTACCACATTTTATATCGAATCATATTGTATTGTATTGTATTCGGATTTTTTTTGGCTAGGTCTACCCTGGGTTCAAATCCTAAGTCCGCCACTGGCTGTTGCAAGCTATCGCTCGAGTTGGTCAGTTTTGGAATAGCTCCCCTAACCCAAAGAGCTGGGCGTGTTTACCTGATGATGGCAAAAGGATGCAGGAGCAGAACTGGTGAACGGCCGTCCGAAGCAGAGTCGGTACGAGACAAGAACGGGGCGTGTCTCTTGTTACACTTGGCGAGGCGCCTGTACCTGTGACCTCGTCTGATTCCTATTGCCTGAATAAATAAATACCCTAGTTAGCTATGCTTCGCCTTTTTTTTTTTTTGACTATTAAGGGTGACCCTCCCAAACACCCCCTGATACGGGAGGAGCATTTTTCAAGGTACGGGATGGTCTAATGATTAGAGAACTGAAGCTAAAAAAAATGAGCTATGATCTGCACAGAGGAGACTGCTGTGAGCCTGTGACCAACCCATCAACGGGTCGAGACTACTCCAACTACTTACTCCCTCCGTCCTATAAAAAAACTAACATAGTACCAGATGTGACACATCTTAGTATTACAGGCCCCATCGTTTGCCTTTTTCCCTGATAAGCCAAAACGGCTTATTAGGGAATAAAAATTAATTTATAGATAAAACTTTTATATATGTGTTCTTGGTGACTTAAAACCAATGCTGAAAAAGAAAATACGTTGAAAATATCTCAAAATCAATCTAAAAATTAAGTTTGAAAATTTAAAATTTACCTTTTTCTTTAGCTGATTAGGCCATCCGATGGGGAGCTACGAATCTGGACATACATATGTCCAGATTCATCATCCTAGAATATGTCAACATAGGCCCTGTTTAGTTGGTGAAATGAAAATTTTTAAATATCACATCGGATGTTTGATCGGATGTCGGAAAGGGGTTTTTGGACACGAATGAAAAAACTAATTTCATAACTCACCTGGAAACCGTGAGACGAATCTTTTGAGCCTAATTAATCTGTCATTAGCACATGTGGAATCTTTTGAGCCTAATTAATCTGTCATTAGCACATGTGGGTTACTGTAGCACTTATGGCTAATCATGGACTAATTAGGCTCAAAGATTCGTCTCGCGATTTACATGCGAACTGTGCAATTGGTTTTTTATTTTATTTATATTTAATGTTTCATGCATGTATTAAAGATTCGATGTGATATTTTTAGGGAAAAAAATTTGAAAACTAACCAGAGCCATAACTCGATCTGCCCGGTACAGAAGCCTGATATTTTTGGGGCCGAAAAGCAGAGAAGCCCACATAGGTCGATATGACCCAAAGTAGTTGAGTATGTGAAAGGCCACCTCTCCAATATCACATCCAAGTTTCTCCTCCAAAACACAAATTATATCAGAATTGGTTGAATAATTTCCAAAAACAAAGCAACTTCAGTTTTGCATAACCTAAAGTCGATTAACAAATATTGTGCCAGACGCAGGACACCGCTAGGACTAAGCTATCATAAAAGCATGTTCTCTGCATATGAGCCTAGCCTATCCAATGTGAGGATCTTCTACCACCTTGTTGAATCTGTCCACTAAGAGCCTAACGCGATTCGAGTGGTAAGCCATAGTTAGCATCGCATTTACCGAAAGGACCTCAATGTAGACATCTGGCCTGCATTGTTTTATCCTCCTCTTTGCCTCGGCTACAGGGAGACCAACGACCGATGGCAATGGGTGCCCATACCCAAACCCTCTGCCTTGTGATCGTCGAACCTAACGAAAGACACAGATCAAATCAGAAACTTGTTGTCATGTTGGGAAACAAATAGAGAGAGAGAGAGAGAGAGGAATCTTGTAGTATCAATTAACCTTGGATGTTTTTGGTTTTCTCTTGATTAGAACCTTGGATGGTTATTCTGAAACCTTGCCTTTGTCTGTCTTCGCACCCATTAGGATCTATGGGTTCTTCACACTGAGACACCAGTTGATCTGGATTACATCATTTCACAACAAACTCGCAAAAAGATATACAAACTATATGGATAGTCTTAGGGTCTGTTTAGTTCGCGAAAAGAAAATTTTTGGATGTCACATCGAACGTTTGACCGGATGTCGGAAGATGTTTTTGGATACAAATGGAAAAACTAATTCCATAACTCGCTTGGAAACTACGAGACGAATCTTTTAAGCCTAATTAATCCATCATTAGTACATGTTGGTTATTATAGCACTTATGGCTAATCATGAACTAATTATGCTCAAAAGATTCGTCTCGCGATTTCTCCCCTAACTGTGCAATTAGTTTTTTAATTTATCTATATTTAATACTCCTTGCATGTGTCTAAATATTCGATGTGATATTTTTAGAAACTAAATAGGGCCTTAAATGACATATTAATAATCCTTCCAGCCAGGTATAAGTATAAAAGATGTATACGTAAGATAGGCATATTGAATGCATCAGAGTAATTCACACAGCGGTTTATGAGGAAAAGAACACCCAACATTTTTTTTTTGCCTGGTACATAAATGAATTGATCTTAAATTAGACGCATCATCAACTTGTTTATCTATTATTCTCCCTACATAATAAAAATCCTAATCTTGCTTTGATAACTCCATCAGTAGTATTTTGGTAGCATAAAACAAACACTCACGGGGGAATACAGTTATGACTCATGACCATCAGTTTACGGCCGTGTTTAGTTCCCTAAATTCCCAACTTTCCATCATATCATATCACATTAAAAACTTTTCTACACATATAAACTACTAACTTTCTCCCAACTTCCTAACTTTTCCACCATCTAAATACAGCCTACAATTCACTTAGATATTGAAACAGGTATTTTTCTGAAATAGAAAAGAACTAGGTTTTTGTAATGTCGAAAATTTTCCGGTTCATGGATAAAGTGGTGCTAGCGAGAACATTTCAGCACTCTAAGATCTCATTTGAAACAAATAAAAGACATAATTTTTTTTAAAAAAATATCCTATGTAAAATAATCCTAATGAGACATTTGAAAAAAAGGGTTTGATTTCTATCAATTCCTTTAAAATCTATGGAATGGACTATTCTAGAAAAAATAGAGGAAAATAATCATAGAATCTCATATCATGCTTTCTTCTTCATGTATTTCATGCTTTCTTCTTCATGTATTGTTAGTTCCTAAAATCTGCATGCTGTTTATCAATTAAACGACAATTTGGAAGCCTTCTTATATTTCAAAATTCTATAAGAATCTAATAAGTATGATATTCTACTTCTATGATTTTTCTATTAATGTGTTTTGACAATCTCGCGTTCATAATATTCCAATCTTAGGAAACATATATGGTGAGGGAAAAAGGAAGTGAAATATGAGAGTCGGTGTATCTAGTACCACGTTCTTGCTACTAATTACCAAGAACTTTTGATCTTAACGGGAACTGATAAATGATTCGAAACATTTAATAACCAAAGAAAAAGTCGATTATCGTCGTACCAGATGGAGATGGCGATGAAGCAGATGCGGCGGTATAGGAAACGTATACACGAGAAAGAAAATCTATGTTTATAACTTTATATATATATAGCGGCGGTAAGGGTTGAATCCGGGTGAGATCAGAATTCAGAAACAATCAGACTTTCTTTCCTTTGAAGTCCCCAACTGAACCGTCCGAACTGCGTGCCCGGCCAACGCGCCACGCGTCTGATCCCCCGGCGCCTTCGCCTGCATGGTTGGCCATGTGGCACGACGCATGGCACGGCGAAACGTACGTACGCCGTACGCGACGCACACCCAGCGCGCGCGCGGCGCGGCCTCGCGCACCGCCGAATCTCTCTCGTGTCGCACCACATCCAGCGTCCCACGGCCTACCACCGCCCACCGATCGAAAACACAACAAATTCCAGCGCAAACCCGGGGGGACGCGCACAAAGCCACACCCACACGTGCCGCATAGACCATCGCGGACCAAAGGAAACTGAGAGGTCGTCGTCGTCGTTTGCTCCGGGATCGAGATGACGGAGGCGGGCGGCGAGCGCAGGATCGGCGTGGCCATGGACTTCTCGCCGAGCAGCAAGAAGGCGCTGCAGTGGGCGGCCGACAACCTCCTCCGCAAGGGCGACACCCTCGTCCTCCTCCACATCCGGCACCACGGCCGCGACGAGGCCAAGAACGTCCTCTGGTCTCACACCGGATCACGTACGTAATAGTAATACTAAGAGAGAAACGCACCGAGTTTACCTCTTGCATTCTAAATTTTGAATGCCTTGATCTCCCATCGAAAATTGTCATGTCATGTCGCGTCGTCTCTGTACTGATCGCACGCAGCGCTGATCCCGCTCGAGGAGCTCATGGAGACGGCGGTGAGGCAGCGCTATGATATACCTTCGGACGAAGAGGTGTTCGACATGCTCAACGCCGTGTCCCGGGAGAAGGAGGTAGGCTGGCTCTATATATGCTGGTGCTGCATGCATGGCAGCATGCTTTGTCTTGCCTTTCAGGTCGAGAGGCCTGATGTTGTTTGTATCAGCTGTCCGTGGTGCTGAAGATGTACTGGGGCGAGCCGAGGGAGAAGGTGTGCGAGGCTGTGGGGGAGCTCAATCTCGAATCGCTCGTCATGGGCAGCCGTGGCCTCGGCCAGATCCAGAGGTGTGTGAATGATACGACGGTATAGCATTGACATGTTTCTAGAAACTTTCGGTCTGGTTTCTGTTTGAGCAACCAGAGATTCATCAGGGGCAGCGATACAATATCCCCTTGTAGCATCATTTTCAGAAAGCTGAATTTCTGATCCAGTACTTTGCTTGATTTTTAAATTGTTTTTGCAGGATTCTGCTGGGAAGTGTGACTAACTACGTGCTGTCGAATGCGTCTTGCCCTGTGACCGTCGTCAAGGCAAAGTAGTCGCTACTCTTACAGCAATGCAAACCTGCATCCTGGACAGAAACAATCCAATGTATATTGCGTGTTGTACCCTAACTTGTCACCTAATAGTACTGCAGTGCTGTTTCATTTGCAGCTGTATTGGAGTATGTCCGTATAGTTGAATAATCCTGGATGTCTTTGTTTGCTGTTGTACCTGGAAGCTGGAAGCCTGGAATCGTAATACATGTTGTTAGTTCTGAACATGTTACTGCTATCTTTAAAAGAAAGACATTAATTAGCCCAACACGGCAACACTGGCAGGTACGCTGTACATTTTATACATCTGCACTAGGCACACTGTGAAATCTGAGTTATCCTTGTTCAAAACTGCAAAAATTATACTAGTTGCTATTAAAAGCCACGGGATGGGTATGAATCAAGCAAGAACAAAGTGGCACAAGAGTTCACAGTGACAAAGTCACTATGCTGTTCTATCTTCGGTCTTCCCCGCTTGAATCAGACACTATATTCTTGCATGTAAACTGATAAAAAAATCACTGTCGGAACATAATTCTTCTCTTCGATTTCAAGAACATCCGATGAGCCGAGCTTTAGCCAATTGAAACAACGAGTCAACTAGAGCCATACGACTCCTGCTTGAACTGTTTAAGCATAAAGCATCATTGCTTCTTTATTAGTATTCCATAAGCCTTGTGGCTGTGAAGGATCAAGGGCTCGAGGCGTCCTCAGCGCCTCTCAGGTCCAGAAGTTATCTAAAGAAACTAGAGAACAGAAAAAACACAGCACTACAGCAGTGTCATCAAGAAAACGAAATCACAGTAACACACTCGGATCAGATGTAGAGATGAGCCTCCAAGATGACAAGGAACAGCATGAGCAGCAGGCCGTAGATGACGGCATGGACCACGATGGACGCCAAGCTGGTCTTCATGTTCATGAAGTCCACCGGCCGGTTCCTGCCCGGCATCTGCAGGATGCCTCCCGGGCACAGCAGCGCGAACAGCGCCGACGCGATGATCGCCGGCGCCCAATCCTTCATCTCCTACCACCCAACTGCAGCTTCAGTTACAAAGCTCTGCTCGGCCAATGAGAGAAGAGGGTGGAACAAGAGAAGGCAGCGCAAGAGTGGATGCTGCTCTTAAGGCAAGGGCGACACGGAAAATATGCTCTTGGGATAAAAAGATGGCGGAAAAGGAGGGCATCGAGCATCGAGCACACTTCCACGTTTCCACCGGTGTTGAGAGAATCACTGAATCAGTGGACTGGTTTGATTGGTGGTGGCCGGAGGAGTACATCATCATAGCGGCGAATCGAAGCTTTTCGGCATGGAAATGCGGCTTTTTTTGGTGGGATTAGTTTTAAGCTACGCTTTTATGTAGTCAGGTCTAGCGTCGAAGAAAAAGGTCTGGCCCACGGAACTGAAGTTCAGATTAGATTACACATTGTTAATTTGACAAAGGAATAAGTTTACTTGAGGTCCTTCAATTTGCAATCGAGTCTAAAATTCAATCCTGAATCGCAATACCAGATATAACACGCCACTCAACTTACAAAACAGGTGTACCCGAGATCCATGGGCAATATAGCGTCCAGTTTTGACTGATGTGGGAACACATGTTAGCTGCCAACTCTTCTTTCTCTCTTCCCCATCTCTCAAATTCTCAAGCATTCAAGTGGCAACTGATGGGAGGGCAATGAGCGGTGGTCAACAAGAGGGTAGTGAGCGGCGGAGAGATGAGCCACATCCAACATGGAGAGGGGTGCCCGACGGGGAGGGCTATGCCCGATCAGAGGGTGGCGGGGAGAAGGACGACCACTAATTTGGAGAGGGTGGCAACCGACGGGAGGAAGCGAGTGGCGCGCGGCGGGGAGAAGGACAGCGCTGACTTGGAGAAAGGCAGAGGCTGCACTCGTGGATGGAGTCATGGAGGAGCCATCAGACACGGCCACCGCCGTCGTCACCCGCTGCCACCCAACTCCTCTCTTGTCGGCCGCTCAAGGAGTTATGAGGGCCAAGCTCACTCGACCGCCGCTGCCTAACTCCACTGTTGTCGAATATTGACCTTCTACTCAACAACCGTTGCACTGTAGAGAAGGGGAACCGAAGGTGCAGCGGAGGCCGGGGGTAGGGGTGAGGTGGTCCATCACGGAAGCCCGCTACCGCCTAGCTCCCCTCCCATTGGCCATCGGCCTTCTCCCCGTTGGCCGCCGCCGCGCTGGAGAGATGGGCAATCAGAGGTGCGGTGAAAGGCCGAGGGTGGCAGGTAGTCCACCGCGGAAGCGCGCTGCCCTTCCCGCCAGCCGTTGACTAGCTCCTCTCCTGCCGATCACCGGCCCTCTCCCCATCAGTCACCGCACTAGAGAGATGGGGAATTGGAGGTGCGGTGGAATGCTGGGGGGATGAGGGAAGGTGGTTTACACCGGTTTTACAAGTTGAGGGATGCGTTTTATTTGTTAATGCGGTTTAGGGACGAATTACAAACTAGGTGATAAATCGAGGGTTCTAGAGTGAACTTTTTTTCCTCTAACAGCTAGACTGGAGCATGCATGGCCCGGTTCCGTTTAAGATGGGCTATTGCCGCAAAGTCGCAGCCCAAAAGGCTTAAAGCAAGTAGGCCAACCTGATTACTCTATATGTATTGTACAATAAAATATCTGGGCTGGACTGGACCAACAACAACCTTTACCCTGAGCAATAAGTCTATTATACCTCCCGCAACTCATGTCCCTGGTTGAATAGCATCCCACCATCATAAAACCGGGTATAACCTGTCCCCTAACTCCCAAAACCATTGCAAATTGACTCTTGGGTGGTTTCAAAGGCGGTTTCGTCCAACATGGCAGTTGACTTACTAAGTCATCAGATGGAACCCACTTGTCAGTGGTCTCCACCTCATCCCATTTTTCCCCTCACCTCCCCCCCTCTCTCTCATCTCTTCCTCTCCTTTCACTTCCATCAATAGAGGCAGGGTGGCGGCAATGGTGCATGGGGGAGGAGCTCGCCAGACGGACGATAGCCGCGCGTGGGATGAGATCATCGGCCGTCTGCGTGGGGGGAGTAGCTCCTCGGCATGGCGGCGGCCAACACCCTCATCGATCTCCTGTGACGACCCGGCTTGAGTGCGCCGACAAGGCTTCTTCGCCACTCCTCATCTCGCGTCCTCCCTCCTCCTCCCCCTTTGCCCCCATTGCGTGGTGGCGGCGGCGGTGGCTGGCGGGTGACCCCAAGAGGGGGGAGGCTTGATGGTGGTGTCTAGAGGCAAGGAAGCAGTGGCCTTTGCGTCGTCATCGAGGTGGATGCCGGGGAGGTGGAGCCTAACAATCTTGGGCACCAGGGTGGAAACAATGATGACGTGGGAGTAGGAGCACGGTGTCCTCGAGGCGCACGCCCACGCTGGAGGAGAGCGTCGACTTCGGCGGCGCCTAGGGCAGGTGGGGTGGGTGGGGGGGCGTATCGGTCGGCAGCGGCGGATTGGAGTGGGGGACGTGCGAAGGCGATGTGTAGCCGCATGGGGAATGTGTGCGACTACAGTGGCCACTGATAATGGGCCCCACCGTTTTTTATTTTTATTCTTGTCACTGACATGTGGGTTCCACAAGATGACTCAACTAGTCAATGGAGTCAGAAAATGCCACGTGGGACAAAACCACCTCCAAAACTAGGGGAATTGATTTGCATCGGTTTTTAGAGTTTAGGATGGGTTACACCCGGTTTTACGATTGAGGGATACTATTCAACCAGAGACGTGAGTTGAGGGAGGTAGAAGAGACTTATTCCTTACCCCCGACGACCTGCAAATAATAGCCCGATCCAATAGGACCGAACTGTTTGTCTTCCCCTTCTATCTATGTGTCCCCGTGTAACCGTGTGCTTGCCCAACGCCCAGTGGAAAGTAATGGTCTACACGCACAAGCTTGAGTTGTGCAACTGCATTTACGAATGTCACACAGGAAGATGTTGTATCACGATTCGCCATTGTTACACGCTTGCACGACGGGCGCCCGGGTGAAGAGAATCAGTCCATACGCACGCCCTGTGCCCGTGTCACATTCGGCGTGTGAGGCCGATAAGGTATGTTTGGGTTGCGTTTTTAATGAGGACATGCTTTTCCTCAATACACCACCATATAGCCTCATGGACCAACGTGTGCTCTCATCACTCTCTAGCACGCCCACATGGATCCTTTTGTTGGAAAATTCAGAGTTTTCTAAAGCAACACAGATATTGTCTTCAGTCGTCCTTTGGTTTTTATTACGCCATCAACTTGCTTGTGTGTAGAGCTCCAGCTTGAAGTAAGAGCAAGTTTAATAGTCTAGCCAACTACTAACTCCAAATCATTAATAGCCAATTCATATAATAGTTAGTTACTATACTATTAATATCTGATCATACCTATCATACACACGTTACATCTTGGACTCCGTACTACAGCTGGCTACAGATCTGTAGCCCGCTGCTCTTCTCTCTCTTCATTTATCTCTTTAAAATATATTTATAGCTGGCTTATAGCCAGCTACCAGCATGGTGGTGACTGGTGACCATCTACCAGCTGCTATCAAATGGAGGTCGGCCACCGGCAACGGTGACACGGCCGGTACACGCTAACTAAACTAGGCACATAAATAGCCAAACACTGACAAGGACCAAAACACCAAATGCTGTATCTAAAGGTGCACATCGACCTTCCAACTGAACTATGCATTTGACTTCCCCTCTTAACTGGTCCACACGACAACACTTACCAGTTGAAGAGTGTCTCAGCTTACCCTGCAATGAGGTCTGATCAGGTGCCGCGCGATGTCACATGACGCCAAGCCAAAATATTGCACTCTGGAAGAGACCTGCCTGGCTGCCCGTGCCGAAGCGAGCCGAGCGCGACGCACGCCGCGCCACGGAGAAAATTGCCATTGCCGTGTGCATGGACGCTCGTCTCGAGCCGTGGCGTGGCATGCTGGGTTAGTTGTGTGCAGCCCAGTGGGGAAGCGTGGACGGACAGGCACGCCGCGACAAGCGTAGCTTCCTTCGGAGTTTGGCCCTCAGAGCGTCTGCTGCACAGTATCAACACAGGCTTTTTTGGCTTATCGGAGCAGAATACAGTACTCCGTATGGGACCGTGTTGTGTCGGACTTGGAACGTTCTTTATGTGTTTGTGGGGATGCCCAGTGAGTGAAGATAGGAGTAGAAAATTGATGCACCCTTTGACATTGGGTCCCTAAGAATGTCTCCAACAGTTTGCCCATCACGGTACCTAAACCCACATATGGGTCATCCGATGAAAAAATCGGAGGCCAACAGAGTACCCAAACCGGAGACGCAATTTGCGTCGGAGTCGAGTGAGAACGCAAAAATGCGTCCGTCTCTCTCCTCGACCCAAATCGGTGCCGCCCGCCCCGCAACCGCCTCATCCAGGCTCGCCGCTCGCCGCCACCGCGTGCTCGCGGTCATCCTTCTCGTGCGGGTGCTGCATCAGCCCGCCACTGCACGGTCTCGCTGCCGGACTTGTGGCTGAGCTCCCGCGTGAGTCGGGGACGCGGAAGCGGACGACGAGACGAGTCGGGTTTAGACGCCGGCGCGGCGAGGCGAGCCCTCGGACGATGACGGTGAGTCGGGCCCGCAACGGGGAGCGACCGGCGTAGCGAGGCAGGTCCGCGGCGGGGAGGGAGGGAGGCGCGGTGCTCGGCGGGGAGGGAAGCGGGCGGCGCTCAACGCTCGTTTGGGTCCATTGTTGGAGAACGAAAGAATTGGGTGCGTGACCCGGACATCCCGCGTGACCCAAACGAATGAATTTGGGTGAAGGCTGTTGGAGACAGTCTAACGTTGGGGTTCTCTCACATGGAGTAAACAAGGCTGACATTCAAACAGTACTGGCTGCCACCGTGTTTTCTTTCCATATTTAACGGCTTGCTCTCCATGACCTTAACTTGACAGTGTCCTACAGTAAGAGCAAATAAGAGCAAGTTTAACAATATAACCAACTACTAACTCTAAATTATTTATAGTCAACTTAAGGGCATCCACAATGTAGTCCTAAACTGGTACATAAGCAATATAGTATTCCATTCAACCACCTAGTAACATTATGGAACTAGTTCATAACAAAGAAATAACAAAAGCTACCCACAAACATATGGGCTGCCCATAGAGGATAAAATATATTATGTGTCTCTACTTTTTTTCTCCTCTTAATGCTATTTACTATCTATATACATTGTGAAGGTTACAATAGTTAAAATCCATATATGTGGGTCCCATCTATATGTACTACTTTAGCCATATATATTGTTGTTGCCCTAATAACTAATTCATACTCCATCTGTCCCAAAATATAAGAACCTATAACCGGATGAGACATTTACTAGTACATCCAGTCTTAGATTCTTATATTTTGGGACGGATTGAGTACAATAATTACCTATAAATATATACTAGACTATTAATACATGGTCTCACCTGTCATATATACATTGTGTCTTGGAGTCCATGATACACCTAGCTACAAATCTGTAGCCCGTTGCTTTTCTCTCTCTTCTTTTATCTCCTCGATATGTGTTTAAGCTGGCTTATAGTTTGCTATTGTATCTGCTCTAAGCCAGCTATAAACACATTTTGAAAAGATAACAGAAGCTCTCCTAAGCAGTCCAGATTTTCACCAAGATTTTAAAAAACTGTAGATGTAGAATCTAGAAAATGGCTTGTCAGCTTCTCTAGATTTTCACTTCTCACAATCTAAGCTATGCAAACTGGACCTTAATTATGATTGTTAGGGACGGATCGGTCGTGCTATTGATCAATACTCCTTTTCCTGATCCATTACCTTTTCCTTACTTTCTTTCTGTGCTTATAGCGACACAAAGCGTGCAACGGAAAGTCGCCAACAAGGGGAAGGCGAGAGAACGAGAACGGCAGCACCGCAGGAGCAGCAAGGAGGGAGCGTTTCCATCACGCCGATCCAGCCTCTTTATTATCTGCACGCCTTCCACCTCACTCGCTAACCGTTACTGCGCGCCGCTGCCGCCCCGCCCGTTCCATTCCATGATTCCATTTCCATCCCACCCTCCCCGATCAAAAGAAAAACAAAGGGAAAACCTCTCTCCTTCTCTCTCTCCGCCTCTAAAAAGTAAACTCGCCAAGGCCTCCCAGACAACTCAAAACCCAACGGTCACTCTTCCCCATCGACCAGCCAAGCCCAACTTTTTTAAGCGCCTAGCCTTCCGTTCGCCCACCGCACCGCGCCACGACCGAGACCGAAACGCCAAAACGCCGCGCAAATCACCACGCCACGCCCCGCCCGCGCGCGTCTCGTCGCGCACGCGGAGCTGAACTCGGCCGCGCCGGCCGAGGAACGGAGCAGCGAAGCGCGTACTACACCCGCGCCCGCGAAAGCAAGCGCGCACGTACGGAGAGGTGTAACTAGTTAGATAGACCCCGTCACGCGCGCGTGGTTGGGACCGATCGGATGGGGAGCGGGGAGGAGGAGAGGGAGGCGCGGAGCGAGGCGGCGTTCACGGACTCCGCCGACGGGAGCAGCTCCAGCTCCGACGCGGCCTCGGCCGACGAGTGGCCCGTGACGCTGGCGGCGCCGCCCAGGAAGACGGCGGCGTGCGGCCGCGTCCCCGGCGCGGAGGTGGTGGACAGCAGCAAGCCGCACGCGCAGAAGCGCAGAGCTCCCAGCTCAGGTACCGGCACTACCGAGCAATGCGCGCGCTCTTCTTCTCCTTGGTCAGGTTGTGCAGCGTACTGATGATACTTGTGCATGGTGATGAGCAGAGATGGAGATGATGAAGGAGAGGTTCGCGAAGCTGCTGCTCGGGGAGGACATGTCCGGGAGCGGCAAGGGCGTGTGCACGGCGCTCGCCATTGCCAACGCCATTACCAACCTCTGCGGTGAGAATTCTCCCCACCTCATGATTCCGTTTGATCAATGTGGAGCTCTACTTAGGTGTACAGTGTACTAGCACTAACGCACCTCTACTGCGTCTCTTGCAGCCACCATCTTCGGGCAGCTGTGGAGGCTGGAGCCACTCCCGCCGGAGAAGAAGGCCATGTGGCGGCGCGAGATGGGCTGGCTGCTCTGCGTCAGCGACCACATCGTCGAACTGGTCCCCACCTGGCAATCGTTCCCCGACGGAACCAGGCTCGAGGTACGCACTAGCATAGCAGCTCGATCTGGCTGCAATTATCACTTAGGCCTGGTTTAGTTTTTTTTAAAAAAAATTCCAAAAATATCAATGCATGGAGCATTAAATATAAAATTTTAAAAAAACTAATTGCACAATTAGAAAGAAATGGTAAGACAAATCTTTTGAGCTTAATTAGTCTATGATTAGCCATAAATGATACAGTAACCCACATATGCTAATAGCGGATTAATTAGGCTCAAAAAAAAATCGTCTCGCGGTTTCCAGACGAGTTATGAAATTAGTTTTTTCATTCATGTCCGAAAACCCCTTCCAACGTCCTGTCAAACATCCAAACACCGAAAAAATTTTCTTTTAGTAAACTCCAGGCCCTGAGCGGCTACCGCGCCATTTTTTCTACTCAAAGCGTACGGTCACAGACAGATCAACCCGTGTAGGCTGGCTCAATTCAGGAGCTGCAAATTCAAAACGGTTCATCAAGTGTCTTGCTTGTCCGGTTAACTCCCATTATTTCAATTTGATTATTCAACACCTCTGCGCTGTCTGGCGATAGGATTTGTTGGTTCAATTCTGAAATTGGAGGCTATTAAAGCGGTTGCTCTATATAAGTACAAGTGCAACTGCTGGCTTTCCATAGAACTTGATACCATGGCACTGCACGGGAAAGGTTCATAATGGTGACTTTAGTTGCACAAGGACCACTAGAAAATGGGATCGAACCGTTGTTAGCAAACTGTTTTTACCTATCTGAATTCAGCTTCATGGAGAAGAAAGACAAAAATGTTACTGTATCACTGTAACTGTTGTATATTTTCGCATCTGTACCCAATAAAAAGGCCGTGCACGCATGCTATGTTTTACATACAGAGCTAATTAAACGACGCAACCAGAAAATTTGAATATACAGCAGAGCAGGACGATAAACAGCCGTAGGCCGTAGATACTGAAACAGTGCACGTACCCCGTGTACATACGCAGCTTTTGTTATATTTAGTGCGAGAACTGTAGCCACAGAAAGGAGAAACCTGTTAACTAAACATGTTTTCCGTATCTGAACTTAGTCCTAAACTGTAACCAAACGAATGTAATGTCATGGAAGGACATGCTAACATGACAACAGATGCCCATATCAATATACTCCCTCCGTTTCAAAATATTTGACACCGTTGACTTTTTAGCATATGTTTGACCGTTCGTCTTATTCAAAAAATTTTGTGAAATATGTAAAACTATATGTGTACATGAAAGTATATTTAGCAATGAATCAAATGATATGAAAAGAATAAATAATTACTTAAATTTTTTGAATAAGACGAATGGTTAAACACGTACTAAAAAGTCAACGGTGTCAAACATTTTGAAACGGAGGGAGTATCATCCTTGGTTAAATGGGATCAATAGAAAAACCCATGCACGCATAACATGTTTTACATACATCTAATTAAACAACGCAATTTGAAAATTTGAATACCACCTCCGTTTTATATTACAAGTCGCTTTGATTTTTTTAAAATAAACGTCGAACTTCTTTATCTTTAACCAAGTTTATAGAAAAACATATCAATATTTTCAACATAAAATAAAAAACTATTAAAATATATTTAATGTTAAATTTAATAAAACTAATTTGATGCTATAAATGTTAATATTTTTTAAACAATTTTTGACTTTTAAAAAAATCAAGGCGACTTATAATATGAAACGGAGGACAACGTAGGAAGATGATAAGCAGCCCTTGGTCGTGGGTACTGAAATAGTGAAACCAAACCAAATCTCTAGTACATGTTATGCGGCTGCCAAATATTGCAGAATATTGATTACTAACCACCTATTAGTACTGAATCCATTGGCAATGAGCAGTAGTGCGTGTAATTAGTGCTGCATATACATGAGTGAAATACGTGTTCCGTGTTCTTGATTTCGTGTAATTTTCGAACTGACAAATGCTGTACAGTTTTTCTATTAAGTTTGCCTTTCCTCACTAAAAAATGTACTGCTACAATTTTTTTCCTGTTGCAACATTTCAGGTCATGACAAGCAGACCACGATCTGATTTATACATCAATCTGCCAGCACTTCGGAAGCTAGACCATATGCTCATTGTGAGTTTTTCACGTCGGTGAATTCAATACAATCCAACCTTAACACGGACATTTAGTAATTTCTCAGAGCAATATTTCTCAGGAAATCCTGGACAGCTTCAGAGACCCTGAGTTCTGGTACGTTGAACAAGGGATATGCGCACCGGATTGTGATGGCTCAGCTTCCTTCAGAGCAGCTTTCCACCGCCGTGATGAGAAATGGTGGTTGCCGGTGCCTCGTGTTCCTCCCGGAGGCCTGCGTGACAAAGCGAGGAAGCAACTGCAGCACAAACGTGACTGTGCTAATCAAATCTTGAAGGCTGCCTTGGCCATCAACAGCAATGCTCTAGCTGAAATGGAGGTCCCTGAATCGTATCTAGAATCCCTACCAAAGGTACCATGCCTCTCTACCCTGACCTAACCTCATCTGCCATTTCATGTGTAATTTAGTTGATCTCAGCTTGTTACCTTCATCTTGGATGTAGAATGGAAGGGCAACTTTGGGTGACATCATATACCGCTACATAACGTCTGATCATTTCTCTCCTGAGTGCCTTCTCGACTGCCTGGACCTGTCAACGGAGTACCAAGCACTGGAAATCGCCAACCGTGTCGAGGCATCAGTGTATGTGTGGCGCCGGAGGATTGCTGCAAAACCAGCAAGTGTCTTAGGCCGTGCCACCAGTGGCAGATCATCCTGGGGCATGGTGAAAGACATGATAATAGACACGGAGAAGAGGGAGCTGCTTGCCGAACGAGCAGAGGGCCTACTGATATGTTTGAAGCAAAGGTTTCCTGGACTGACGCAGACAAGCTTGGACATGAGCAAAATTCAGTATAACAGGGTTTGTGCAGTATCTCTCTGAATCTTCCTATGTTTGTTTTATCCACATTGCCATGCTAGTTACTGATGCACCTGTCATTATTATGTCTTGAACCATTTCTAGGATGTGGGTAAATCAATACTGGAGAGTTATTCAAGGGTGCTGGAGAGTCTGGCGTCCAACATTGTCGCTCGCATCGACGACCTACTGAACATCGATGAACTGAACAGGCATGCAGAGCATTTTCCACAGGGTGATGCAGATTGCAGGATTGCTTGCAACAAGGCTGCTGTTCCACCGTACCAAGTGCCTGCCTCAGGCACACCGTTTGTGACCGCATATGCGACGCCCAGCTTCTCGCCGGCGCAGCTTGCAAGCCCATCAAAGAAAGAGAGGAGCCCACTGGGTGCAGGGAGACGGTCTTACAGCAACAGGGGGTTTGGCGCAAAGAAAGCCTTGGCAATTGATCTAGTTAATCCTGAAGTAATGGGGGTGATAATCAGCGGTGGTAAGATGATCGATGTCTCGACGACCACAGAGCTGTAATGTAGGGTAATCTAGGTTTTACTCATAAAATTTGTTAAGGACTACTAGTCTTTGTGTATACTTGTGCCATTTGAGTGCATTCATGTTCTTACTGTATCGCCTGAAATTCCTGGTGTTAAGCTCTGTGTGGTGTGTGCTCCTATTTGCTCGTGATCAAGTATAACAAGTGTATAAAATCATGATTACACGGTTAATTAAAGCTCCACTGTCCGTATAGTGCATCAAAGGAATCAAGCCAATGAACTCCGAGGAACTTAACTCACTGCGGTTCTTGCCTCTGGCAGACTGGCACCAGCAGATTTTACGGCTGCAAGTTCTTACTGCAGCTTTGTACTGGAGAGGTCTGTGACGGTCCGGGAAAGGCAGTGTGGATTCCTTCTCGCGTTTTCAAGAACTCCGGCCGTGTCACTGATCTAAAAGCAGGCCGCCGACACACCGGTGATGATTGTGAACCGATCGGCGAGCGAAATCTTTCCGTCACGGGCCATTTACGTGGCAGATCTTCAGGCTCTTCGGAGAGAATTTTATGGACGCTAAGCATGCCCCTCAGCATAGTGGAGTGCAGTAGGTGACACTTCCAAATTGGACAGAACAGAGCTCAGTGCGAGCAACAGAAAGAGCTCGCCAGTGCGACCTCCACTTCCGAGGCTTTCACACCGTGCGACCCGCGGGAATTCTCAAGCGGCCCCCCAATGATGGCTTCGAGCCACGCTCCGTGCTCCGGCGCGCTGCATAAATACTCGCCCCGTGAGACGCCTGGAGGATCATCGATCGCAGCACGGCTCAGAGTTGCAGACGACGCCGAGAAGACGAAGAAGAAAAGGAAAGCGGCGGGCACGGGATGGAGAGCAAGGTGAGGTGCGTGTGGTTTCTCCTGGTGGTTGCGGTGGTGGTGGCCGCCGGGGTGGAGACCGTGCGCGGCGCGGGGGAGTGCGGCCGCGTCCCCGTGGACCAGGTGGCGCTTAAGCTGGCGCCGTGCGCGGCGGCCACGCAGAACCCGCGCGCCGCGGTGCCGCCCAACTGCTGCGCGCAGGTGCGCAGCATCGGGCGGAACCCCAAGTGCCTGTGCGCCGTCATGCTGTCGAACACCGCGCGGAGCGCCGGCGTCAAGCCCGCCGTGGCCATGACCATCCCCAAGCGCTGCGCCATCGCCAACCGCCCCATCGGTTACAAATGTGGCCGTAAGTTTCTGCTCCTGCTGCTTTTTTTTTTTCCTTCAGTCTGTTTCGAAAATATGAATCGCATCAAGTCATCTGTTTTTCTTTTTCAACTGTGCAGCATACACCCTGCCATGAGGAGCAAAGGGATGGAACTGGAAGGGCACTCGAACACTTTGACTATCCGATATATATATATATAAACTGATGTTACCTTTGTCACGTGAAACTTTTCATAAATCTTTCTAAATAACGCAGTTGTAATGACTCTGTTGAAATAAAGTACCTTTATGACTATCGAATAGTGGTGCTATCTATAAGAGAACAGTTTGATAAGTTCTGTGAAATTCAAGGATGTGACTTCTCCTGGATCTTTCTGAATAATGCAGTTGATGATTCTGTTGGAATAAAAGTACTACTATTTATAAGAACAGTTTGCTAAGTTCTTTGAAATTAAACGAGTACATGTTTACAATGCAAGTGATCTCCACTTCTCCAGCCTTCTTGGCTCCGGAGCGAAGATCCGAGAGTACAAGGAACATATACTTCGATCTAAGAGAGCCAGACCAAACTGATCCAATCTGGTTACTGACCAGATTTGGCAGAATGGATAGGGACCATTTATGCAACCTGCGACCTAAAACTTACTGTGCTTGTAAGTTCGATTCATTTCACATCTAAAGCACAAGCTACGAAATGAAAAGGTAAAGACACACTACATCTGCCCAGGTGTGATGATCCAAATACTGCCACCACTGATGGACGATGTCACACTAGTATGATTTAGGTAACTGATACGGCCAGCATAGCAACAGTGAAGCAAAACCAGCTCCAACCCCTCCCATTCCATTCCCTGGCACAAAAAGCCCAATATAATGGTTAGATTCGATAAAATAACACAAATATACAGTGAAAATAATGTAGCTGGAGTTAGGATTAACGGATTGTTTCTCGTACAGACGGTCATCGTTAAACCTCTTTGGTTTTGTAGTTGAACTTAGGGTTAAGTTGTTTTTCTTAAAAACAGCCTTTAGAAAATCAATCTCTACCTTATATTATGAATAACCTGAATTTTATGAAACTACATTACCAGATGGGACCTGGGCCTAATCCTCTTATGGAGGATTCATGTTTCACCAGAACAAAATTGACACAGCACGGTATGCAAGTAATACAGCTTAATGGAACATCAGCACAAGATTCATTGCAATTTTGTTCTGCTTCCTCGAAGTGAATTTGTAGCATACACTAGGTCAATAAATTATAGGGATAGTGGTGTAACTAATACAGTGATGGAGACATATAAAGCCAGGAGCTAACTAAAATTTTCACTCCAGGACAGTTAAACCCTTTTCCCGCCCACTGAACCTCGTCAAATTTTACAACCATACAGCTTATCGTGCAGGAAAAAAAAAGTTAAATGGAGGCACGGAACTTTGATATTGACACATGAATAGATAAACTTTGCATGTGTTTGTGTTTGAGGGGGAGGGAATATGCAGAGCTTAGAAGCATTTGGGATGTGCAGCTGAAAGTAACAGTTCCTCATATAAATAGTTTTTTTTGGCTCTTTTTTGTATTGAAACGTTGGTTGGGCACATCATCACCAATAATTTCCAAAGGCTTAGTAGTTTGAATTCTAGTATAACTGTTCTGAATTTTGGAAAACAAAACAAAAGAGAATATGTTCTCTTCCGTATAAAAAAGAACATGAGTATCAAATAATTGATAAAATAGGTCGAGTGAGCTAACACCAATATCTATGAACTGTCAGATGGAAAAGAAGATATTCCATTGCGCCGCAAATGTAAGTTGAATAGCATATAATCATGTGCACAAACAGACAATAGCAGCAAACCATAAAAACAGTTAAGATGTGCCTTTTACCTTTTCCACCAAGGGAGAGGCCACCAAGTTCGCTTAGTAGTAAAACGAACCTGATAGAAATAAATAATCAACATTTCAACAATATGGAGCTTGAATTCAGAGATAAATGCATATCTAAATAAGTAAATATACCTTGCCACCAGTCACCATGAGAATCTGTGGAAGGGTCCTTTTTGTCCGCCTTATACTGAAAGCAATAAAGCAAAAGTATATTCAAAGCTTTGTTGTGGTATAGTTGTATAGACCAGTTCATGATACTTTTTTTAAAAAAAGTAATTGCAAACATAATTTGCAGTTTTGGGTTTGGCAATTTCTTACATCATTGGATTCTGTGGATTGCTTGTGTCCAGAGATTCCATAATAGTCTCGACCACCATAGTTCACAGAAGAACCAAAACAGGACGTATCAACCGAATCATACTGATTTGACTGTTTGTTATCCTTGGTGTACACGGTGCGACTTTTAGGAGGAGTCCACTGGGATTTACCATCTGGCATACAAATCAATGTTTATATGCAGTTAGTTTGCTATCGTGAAACATCTCAGTGCTCTAAAGTCTGAACCGAGTAAGATGATCACAAAGATGAATAACAGTCAACGACACTCCACAAAAGAAAAAAAAAACATGATGGTGCAGACAAGAGTAACAGATGGAAAGTAATTTCTCGTTGGTTAACTCTAGAGATATCCAACAGATGCAAATGGTAATTACAGAAGAAAGGAGGCAAATAGTAAATACAGATGAAAAGGAGGCTACTAATTTTCAAGCTTTATATGGAACTGGTATTCTTTGGGTTTATTTGAATTCGTTTATATATAGTTGTGCTTATTATTATGTTCCATTTTCGCAACAGTGTCTTTAATGGCACCAAGGAATAAGAATGTCCTTCCTACATAAGAGCAAGGAAGAGATTGGGTCAATCCACAAGACCACAACTACCTGCAGTCCCAGCTTGTGCAGTCCCGTTCTGCCCTTTGTAGAAAATGGAGTATATGTCTTCTTTGCCTTTTGCCTGAAAATGGAAAAATGTAAAGGAATTCACTAAGTGTAAACAAAGCGCCGGCAAAACAATACTTTGGGATTGGATAAATACCATCACCATCAAACTATATAAACAATCTCTAAGGTTGATTTCCAAAAGTATTCTACAAACTATCGCGTATCCACTTGGAAAGACAGGCGCCTGTACATTGAAAATTACTAATTTTCGCAAATAGAAAGAGGAGGGGGGGGGGCATATCTACATTAAAAGCATACTAAATTTATGCGTGTGCAACAGCGATGGAATGAAAGGCAAATTCAGCATGTATCAACGCCTCGCAGACGGAGGGGGACTCATCCCGTGTCATCCGCGTCACCGTAACAAAAAAAAATAAAACAAAAAAAACAAACAAACAACGAAAGAACACCCTCGAATTTCGTCTTGTTCGGAGGAAAGATTCACGTCGGGCCTGAACACAGGCATAACATCAAACATGCAAAAGGCGTCAGGAATCAGTACCCCATGCGACGGCTGGTGGAACAGGCTGCTCAACGGCGACTCGCCACCGACGGCAGCTGTGCCGCCGCCGCCTCCTCCGGCGGCAGCGCGGGGAGGGGACTTCTTGGTCTCCACGTTGGGCTGCGGCAGCGCAGGGGACCTCTTGGGCTCCATTTGTTGGGGTCGAAAGGGAGAGCTCCGGAGGAGGATCAGGCCACGTGAAGCGGTTGCAGGCGGCGGCGGGAGGAGGAGGAGAGGGAGAGGAGGAAGAGACGGCTAGTCTAGGGAACACCCAACAACTCGCCTCGTGGCGCTCTGCTCCGGCCTACATGGGTGCCCCCGCATTTAAAGGCCCCGGGCCGAGGACCACGCCCCGCGATTTCCTAGATCTTGAGGGGCTTATACGAAAAACAGGTAGATACCCCCCCGCTTTTCGTGGACGCGCGCCGCCGCCGTCGGCCTCGCCTCGCCTCGCCGTGCGGGTTGCCGCCGTCGTCGGTCGGTCCACCGCTTCTCCACACACCACACCTATGACACGATGGCTTCTGCGAGTTTGCCTTCGCTGGTCGGCTGATGACACAGCTTTGACGAGACGGCTAGCTATCTCCGTTGGTTGTTCTCAAGTCGTCTCGATCGCTAGCAAGAGTGAACCGAAAAGAAGGGAAGGCGAGCCAACAAATCTTGAGCTAGACGACAACATGTGCTGGCTACGGGGATCGATCGACCGATGGACCCCACGGGCAGATGCTACAAGTGGCGGCGAAATCAGGAAGACGACGAGAGGTGCATGGCCGAAAAAGCACGCGATGCACGGCGAGATCCTCCGATCGTCTACGTCCACCGGTTTGATGGAGCATCAGCGGGACGCTGTAGACGGTAGTACTAGTACGAGACGAAGCGGTCAAACGGGGACAAGTGGGTTACTACTGAAACACGGACCCACTTGCCCCTTGTACATCCAGTACATTCTAGAATACAATTGCATCTAGACATATTCTTGTCTTGGTGCATAGTTATAATTTTTATTCATTTATATAAAAGTAATATAAAATTTGAAGCCATGGAATCAAGTGAAAACTCATGTTAGACATAAGGTTTTCTATGTAATCGATAAAAATAAATTTATAGGTGAATATTTTTAAGTTAATAAATAAATAAGAACGCATCGAACACAAATAACGTAATTAAAAGAATAACGGCATGCTTACAAAAGATATTGAATGGTACCTCGAGAGATTGCGGGTAGAGGAGGTCCCTCAACGCGGAGTCGTCCTCGGTAGTGTTAGTGGCGTCGTCGACGATGCTGGTGGGAGCAGGGGACTTGTTGCCTTCGACGTGAGGCTCAGACTCTTGCTGAGGGAGCGGATTCTTGCGTTCCATTTCGGTGATCAAAAGAAAGGTGCCCAAATCTAGGACACGTGAAAGGACTCTAGTCCTGTTTCTATGGTGAGGGTGGAGATGAGGATTCTCAAGAACACTTGACTGATAAGTGTCTCCAACTTGGCAGTATTTAAAGGCACATGATGAAGACTATAAATGGTAATTTCATATTGCTTAAAGGGCATATATGAAAAAATGTGCAGCCTAAAGATATCTTTATTTAATAACTTCCAGCTGAATATCTTATTCAATAAATCTGCTTCCATAAATGTATATATGGTGTATATATATATAGAACAAATGCATTTATTGAAAGCATGGAATTTATTTGATTTTGTGTATCTGCATTTAATTCATTTCTAATAATGTAAAAAACTAGGATTTTTAATCAGAACATCTAAAAAAGTTATACGGGTTGTTGTATAAGACATAGTAAAACAATGGTGTGTCTCCAACAAGGAGTTGCACAAACACTCGTTAACTTGTCCCACATGACTAAACATAGTTATGCAAGTAGAATAGTCCATGTTGTCGGGTTGCTAAGAGATTGCTGACCATGGGTAGAAGCGGTTGGCACATTGTTAGAATAGTAGGATGACGACTTCTTTTTGGATGTAATGGCAACGATAGGCGGTGGCATAGAAAACTTATGCGCAACCAAACTAGCTTCATGGGGACGACATACTAGCTTCGGTGTACTTGTGTGAGGGTTTTAAAAGAAAGACCGGAGGTTGATAGAGTGTGGGACCGGGAAGCGATGGATGACGATACATATGAGTCATTGTATTGAGGAACGGATGAGGTATGTTATGTGAAATCATTGTCATGATTAATATTTGTGATGAACAATTGGCTATGCAAATAATTTAATCAATGAATTGGTTTGAAAAGATGTGTGGATGTTGATGTGAGTGCGTGTGACTAATGTGGGTCAGGTTGTGATATCTGTGCCCAGAAACGGTTGTTTTGTCTGATTGTGTGTAGGTGACTTGAGGTCAGCCTTGGTCAATGGCGAGGACCGGGACTATGTTCAGAGAAAAACAGAGGTCTAGTGCGGTCGGGATACCATGTGAGAAGGTGACTAGAGTTAGAATTCTTGGAGGTCAACTTCGGTCAACGGTGGAGATCAGGACTAGACTCAGGAAGGAGTTGAGGTCCAGACTGTCAAGGATACCGGGTGACGAAGTTGGATACGAGATGGCATACGGTGGATGGATACCGTGTGGGAGAGATCTTCGCAACGGGCTTCACGAGGTGTGCGTGCAAGCATCGGTGTTCGCAAAGGGAATTGGAAGAAATTGGAAGAGGCTTATGTATGGTGCTACAGTACTGTGGTGTACTGTAGCGTGCATATATGTATGCGTGCTGGTGTGCAGCGTGCATATATGTGTGGTATACATGCAGTACGTGCATGCATGTGTGATGCATGTATGTATGCATGGTGGTGACTGACTTTGGCTTTGTTGCGTGGTCAAGCAGCTTCAGTGATGGCAGGCTTGATCCATGCAGAGGCAAGCCGAGTCGGCTCAGGCAGCAAGCAGCAGCAGCGACGGCAGGAGGAGTCCGACTTCTGTGCGGCTGTAGTTTTGGAGAAAAAGGAAATTATGGGATTGAGTCCTATTATGAATAGGAGTTCTACACCTACTTTGAGTAGGGGGTTTTTGTGGTATAAATAGAGAGGGAGGGTGAGGCCTCCCGATATCGCTTTGAGAGCAATTAAGTTGATAGTTTAGTTAGGGTTTCGAGTTTAGTCGAGATTTTTGTAAGGAGTGTTGTTGTTGCACTTTGTAAATATAGAGAGAAGCAATAAAGTTGTCATCTACTTTGAGAGTTCTTCAATTTGTGTTTCTTCGAGTTCAGGCGACAGGGAGGCGATCTAACCGGCGGCGTGCGAGCGGTCCGACCGGCGGCGACAGGACTACGTCGAGATTTCCATCAATTTGAGGGTAACTTTTATTTCCGCTAAAATTTTTTGGGTTTTTAGTTTTCCCTACCATTCACCCCCCTGGTAGGCTTGGTTACTTGTGTTCGATCCTACATGTTAGATACCACATGGTGACTTTATTCTACTTAGGGATAGAAATTGGACGCTACATCCCTAATTAATGCTAGTGCCAATTAAGAATTGTGCGTATGGTGGTTATTGTTGCCACTTATATTGTCCGTAATTGTTCACCGGTACGAAATCCCTAACCCTTGATAGGTGTCGACGTTTGAGGTCATGACTATGGTATTTACATGGTATGGAGATCGTTGGTACCAGGGTGTATGCGAGATCAAGGTAAAAAAGATAGAGAGAAGGATTTTTATACAGGTTTAGGCCCCTTCACAGGAAGGTAACGACCCTACTCCTGTTGGCCGAAGGCCGGTGTTATTCTTTATTTATATGGATCACACAAGTATAATAATTGGGATAACCTATCTAGCTGTCATCGACTTGGCAGAATAGATCATCAACATGTAGTCGACGACAGAGTAGTCCTCCTCGTCGAATACGTACTTGGCGAGATCAGAGATAGCACTAGATCTCTCTTGTCAGCCTCCGCAGGCACCGGATTGAGTCCATCTAGGCTATCTCCAATATCGATGTTTAGCTTGTCTTGACTTGTGTGTTGTGTCTCCTCTCCTCCTAGGGGGCTTGTATTTATACCCATAGAAGTCTCATTGTCCAAGTAGAACGACCAATATAAATATAATCCGAGCAGTCTTTATAGTTTCCATATAAAACACTTCTTGTCCTTCCTTATTCGGAACTCTTTCTATATAAAAAATATGATTCCGTATAAGACTTAGTATATGGTGGACCCCGCTGAACTTAGTCGATGACTATTAGGTATGTGGTATCCATAACCCAGACAAAAGGTAGCCATCAACAACACATGGAGCTTAGAGACAATAATAGTAAGGTGCATGCTAAGACTGACTATCCAAGTGTATCAATTCATTTGTATAAATTTATAGGAGTATCAATATATCTTGAAAACCGTTATATGAAATGGATTTGACAATTAGACTTGTGTCTCTTATTATTTATATCTGAATCGATGAGAGTATTAAATACCTATTGTGTTGGTTATATACCCTTTGTGCTATGTTACGTTAGTATTACTTCCTTCGTCCAAAAGTTTTCTACAACATATTTTATCACTGAAACCAACAAGAATCGAAATACTCGTTCATTCAATTAAACATCCGCATCGATTCATATGCACGTTGGTTTGGTTGGCTGCGTAATGCATGAGTTCATCGTCTCTGCTAAAAAAAGACACGAATATTAAGGAAGAACCTAATATTAAATAATTAAAAATGATGAGGCTTCGAATCCAGGTCGTATAGCCCACCACCTTGTGAAGCTAGCCGAAAAACCCCTTGGTGTTTCTAAATAAAAAAAAAAGAGTGGGACGATGGCTGCTCGGGACACAAGATCAATTTAATCCAGCGCCGCGCGCTAAACGAACGATCACGCTGTTCATTTAAGGCTTGCATACATGTAGATTACGAATGCATACAATTTATATAGAAAAATTAGAAAACGTAATACGGGTGAGAATTTTAGATGGAGGAAGTATAACCCTTGGTGACTTATATATCAGTCTGATGCAGGCTAGCTTGTACGACTAACTGATCAACGTAGGACTGTAGGAGTATATGCGAAATTGATATGGTATGCTTTGGATAAGATGGTGCATGTTGGGGCCCATAGCATCCACGTTGGGACCTTAGAACAATCTGTCTTGTCAAAGGCAACACGTGTGCAAGTGGTAGTGAAATGATAAGCCAACTGTGAAGATCTTAGCAAATCAATCCAAGGGAACAACAAACACAACAAGGTCGTTTCGTGCTTCAGCTGTTGAGCCAGTCAAAGATGTAATCTTTCATTCTCCTCTCTCGAATCAACAGGAGATATCATATGCGGATAACCTCGCATTCAGGGCGATTACTAGAACACACACGGTAGTTCGCCGTCCCCAAAAAACAGGTTTCAGGCTTTAAGCTATAATGATCGAATTCACCGAAAGTGATTGGCACTTGAAAATTTACCACGTGCAAAGCCTTGTTTTAGCGGCCTGTACCTTGTGCGAGAACCAATCTGATAGGGGGTGTTCATTTCGATCCCCTGAATTCGTTCTCGTTTTTTATTTTACAGAGGATCAACAAGTGTAC